ATACTAGTATGTAAATTAATGGTACTATACATTTGTAAAATGCATTTTTATCAATTACACATTTTTCTTGGCAATATTTAGATTAGAAAATTAGAGGAAGAAATATTTAATATGATAGAAAGTTGCAACCTAAAATAATGTATAGAAATAACATAGGTGATTTTTTTAATAGTGCTTTTAAACCAACGATGTGAAATAATGTTTAGCTTTTTATCTACACATGTCAACTTGGAAATTTTTGGAAATGTGGTTAGAATATTAAAAATGACCATACGCTTAGATCTGAGACTGAGTGCGTATGTAGTTTTACATTAACTTAGTAGGTGGTATTAAATCATACATTATATCCCAGAAATTGCTTAGAAGTAAATTTTTGCAAGGGCTGCCTTTATGTCCCTTGAGTTCTTTCTGAAAACAATTGTATAGTATAATGTTTTCCTATAGTTGAGCCACTTTATTAAAATGTATTTTAATAAATAAGTCAAAGGTTGACTATAGAAAAATTTGCAGTGATTATAGTGGATCTTGTTTTGGTTTGTTATTTTTAATGATACCTTCCTTCTAGGGAACACAGTATATTTTTACAGATTGCCAAAATTTTATTTCCAGATTTGTTTAGTGTTAGATATTTTCATTAGCTAGGAAAAGATTATACTTTCCTTCTGTTGTTGAAAATGGGCTTACATGTGATGTATACATGTACTTAGAAATTGTATTTATTTAGGTTAGGAATTTATAAATAACTAGCCTGCTGGCTCAACATTAGAGCAACTAAAACCCTTGATTCTTATGATTAAAATTAGCAAGAGAAGATATGTTAACATTGTAAGCTGTGTTATGTACTTGCTGCATAAATCATAGTCATCACTAAATGCTTTTCTATTTCACTTGTATTTTATTAAGGTTTATAGAGTAAAAGCATGTGTTCGCATATATAATTTATTCTTTACTAAAGTACCTAAACCTGTCTCTAACCCAGTGGTCCTCATAAATCAGAATCATCAGCAGAGCTAGTTAAAACACAGATTGCTGGGTACTAGCCTCCAGAGTTTCTGAGGCTGTTGGTCTTGGGTGGGACCTGAGAATGAATTTCTAACAAGTTCCCAGTTGGTGCTGGGGCTGCTGGCCTGAGGAACACATTTTGAGAACCCATGCTTTAACTATCCTCACTCATCTGTGCAGCCTTACAAACACCAAATAAAATAAAATCAATTATTTAAAAGTTGAAGTGTTTCTTTATAATGAACAGTAATTGCATTTCCTTCAAGTCATAATTAAAGGTCCACCTATTTAAAAAACCCTATTTATCCTTTTCTGCCTTATTCTCATTTATACTGAATTTTTATGTTTCACATTTAGGAAAAGTATAAATTTTTAACATCATGAATCCACATGGTATTACTAAAGTATACTGATACTTTAATTGTTAATGTAACCATATCTTTTTTTTTTTTTTTTTTTTGCGGTACGCGGGCCTCTCACTGTTGTGACCTCTCCCGTTGCGGAGCACAGGCTCCGGACGCGCAGGCTCAGCGGCCATGGCTCACGGGCCCAGCCGCTGTGCGGCATGTGGGATCTTCCCTTCCCGGACCGGGGCACGAACCTGTGTCCCCTGCATCGGACTCTCAACTACTGCGCCACCAGGGAAGTCCTTAATGTAACCATATCTTAACTGATAAATCTTTTTTTCTGGAGGAAGAGAGAAACTTATGAGGGGAACTTCGCTTAGGGCTGAGAATGCAAACAACTGAATGCCTTTCCTTTTTTGGCTTAGTTGTGACTTTTTATTTTCATTAGAGTGAAAACTTGAAGCTGAGCAGTTGATGGGAATTTACTTTGCTTCTGTGGCTAATTGCTTTCTCTTTCCCTATCTTGAATGATAGCAGTTTACAGTTTTATAGCCTTAACCAACAGTGTATTGGTTAAGGAATTTTCAGATTTTTCTTAGTACTAACAGCTCACATTGGGTATTTCTTTTTCCCTAGTTTCCTCACACTTTCTGTATATGGAAACCTAAGGCTACTTGCATACAGGAATTTACATAGTCTGTATTTTTAATAATTTCCATCATTTGGTCCTCTAAAATGTTAGGTTTTCTTATCCATGAATCAAGATACTAGTATGCAAATCTGATATTCTTATACCTTTGTGTTCCTCTTCTTGCTGACCCTTTACTATTTTAGCACCCAAATTCCTTTTTTTCTCAAGATTAATTTTTTGCACTTCTGATATATAAAATGAACCTTTTTGACATCTGAGAGGCCATGAATTCTAGAAATCTATATAATTGTTTTTGCAGGAACTCCGTTAAGTTTCTTTACCTTCAATTTTTACTTAAGCGCACAGACCTAAAATTAATACTTTTTGCTGTCTTAGAGTAAATGCATTGTACAATGTGATTATTAAAAGAAATTTTAAAAATTACGTGGTTGATATAAATTATTATAATTGCTTTTGACATTAATTTGAACTTGTAATTGTGGTCAGGTGACTAATGCAGAGTTGTTCAGAAAAAGTAAATATGAGCAGTTATTTTTCATTTTATGGTGTTTGTCTTCTTTTAAACAAAATATAATGAAAACAGGACTACTTATCCCTTGTATACTTCCTGCCAATATACTGTGACATTGACTAAAAGATATTTCAAATCCCATTTTAAAGTCATATTTATTTATCTGATCTTACAGTGGGAAGAAACCTGGAAAATCGTCAGTATGTTCTTTAGTTTTGAAAAAATGATATAAATTTCCAAATCCTTTGAGCAACTTCCTTCTTCACCTTGGTCCAAAGTCCTTCGTGCTCTTGATCTATTTCAACCTTGAGTACAGTCCCCTTTCTCTCTCACCTGTTCCTGGTTTGGTGGGGAGGGAGGCTCCAATGGGAAGGGAAGGGTGATGAAGTATATGAAAAGTTTACTCACGAGTGGAATTGTTGTTTTATGGGATTTCTACCATGAATATATTTTGAATAAATATTAAAACCATTTACAACATGGCAGAGCTTCGTTAGTGGCTATAAAATATATATAGAAGGAGTGTATGAAAGGGATATCTAACTCATAAGAGTTTAGATTTCTTTGTTTCTAAGAAGTGTGAGGGTGAGATAAAGGGACGATCTTTGTAGGTATGAGTAAGTACAAGCAAGGAAATTAAAGTTTTTAATTTTTGATGGGGACCAGGTTAGAGGTTGAGAATTCCTGAGATCAAGAAACTTTAAAAAGAAGCAATGAACTCTTGTTACTGTAAAATTTAAGAAGAAAATGAAACATTAGTTCAAACAATAGACATTGGTCTGTTGAGAAATCTTAAATCCATTTGCTGTTTAACATTTTAGGATATAAAATTTGTTCCACTATTCATGTTAAAATAATTCATTTACACTAAATAGAGAACCATTGGCAAATTTTTATAAATGATTGAACCCACTTAAGAGAAATACGGAATAAGGGGAGTAAAACATGATGTCGCATAAGAATGTGACACTGCATTGTTTACATTATCCGTGCTTTTGAAAATTATTTTATATGGTATGTTTAAAAAATATGGCATAAGGTATTACAGATTATGATAAAAGTTATCATTAGTTTAATATTTGTACAAACAATTTTAGTTATAATTTATTTAAAATGTCCATTTGAAGTTCATTTATTATATCTTGACCTATAAAATTTACCTGTTAGATCCTATAGAAGTTTTCAGTTCAGGTCTTGCTGCTCAACAGGGAAGAATCAACCTGGTTTGAGTTGAAGTGGCTCTAAGGTGCATGACTTACATACCTACCCCTCTCTAACACAGTTCTCCTTCCACCGTCCGTGAATTAGTTGTGCTAAAAACTGGGCTACTTTTTGATTCTTTATTTGCCATGCTATAGTCTAGTTATTTAATGTACTATAGAATGTCTGGTATTCAAATTATCAAGTGAATTTTGTTAAAATGCTCTTACTCTCCTTGCTTTGTCTTCCTAATTTATACACTAGCAGAAAATACAGTAATAACCCTGAAAATATTACATTGCATTGGGTTGTAATCAAGTTAAATATAAAGGAAATGGTTCTTGCCTTTATAAACTTATAACAGGATCATTTGGACAAATTCATAGAACTCAAATAAATATCATCTTGCCTGGAATTCTAACTTAATTCTAATAATCTCAATGACAATGAATTAATGACAACACAAAACTAAGAAAATACTTCCGATAGGAATAAATAGGACATTCTAGACATCATGTTAGTGACATTCTTTTTAGTGTTGTATTTCAGGGAGTACTAATTTAGAAAAACCTAATTCATAGTCATATCATGCTGATAGTATAAGTCTATTGCTCTATGAAAATAGTAAGTGTAACACAATGCTTAAGACACTCAGTATTCTGTACCACGCACTATGCTAAATGCTTTAAATTCATTCTGTCATTTATGCAGGCCATAGCACGGAAGGTGTGATCAATTAGCTTGGTATCTGGTATTCAAGAGTGTATAAATACCTGTAATAGAATGCTTAACACAAAATGGGATTTAGAGGATAAGCTTAAAACCTGGCTCTTCCTTTGTTTCAGTATGTTGTCAAAATTTACTTTCAAGCTATTCAGTTTATGACTCTCTTTTGTTCAGTTCCATTCTTGTTCAGTACCATTTTAAAGTCAATTTTAATTCTTAAATATGGTGAGTATCCAGGTAAGTTTCTTTTTTTTCAGTACATGTTGAGCATGTCAAAAATTCCAATTAAAATGTAAAATGTATACTAAAAGAATAGAGAACTGTTAGTGATTTTCTTTTTATTTCCAGTTAAAATTCAGTGTGACCCATGCTACAGATATATTACAACATAAAGAAAATAGGACTTTTGTAACTCTTTACAGCAACCTAATATCAGTTGAATTTTTTAATTTATGGTACTAGTTGCTTGAAGAAAATACGGATCAGTTCTCTATTATATTTCTTTAGTAAAAATAAACAAATACATTATTGTTACACAAGTTTGATTTGTTTTGTTTTCCAGGTGCAACAATCGAACACAGTGTATAGTAGTTACTGGGTCAGATGTATTTCCTGATCCATGTCCTGGAACATACAAATATCTTGAGGTCCAATATGAATGTGTCCCTTACAGTAAGTATGAAGCTTGTATTTTTCACCTTCTACAGCATTCCTCGTTGATGCTGAAAGAGGACACATGTGAAAGAAGCATATGTTTATGGCCTACAAAACTATTATGCATGCAGAGCACTAACAGACTCAGGCCTCCAATTAGTTTCATGAAATGTGGAAGGAAGCCATAGTGTGATGCTGGCCAAGTGTCTGTCTGTGTTCTTAAGTGTTTGGCTTTTAAGGCTAGTGTTTTTCCAGAAAACAAACTTGAATTAGCTATTCAATAGGGCAGATAGAAATCTGTACTTTTGCCCAATACCAGTTGCTGACAAATTGGTTTGGCTCACAGTTTTCTAAAGAAGGAATTGACTTTGGTTTTAATCGTGAGCTACTTGAATGGCTACCTGCTGTTGTGGTAACTTTAATGCCTGGTGAAAGCTACCATTGCAGTAACTGAGGCAAGTGCTTTCCTTTTTGTCCCTTGTCCTTAAGAGAGTACTCCTTTACCAGATTCAGTGACTAAATCTTAACGCTAGATAAAACAAACGTAACAAAGCCTTGCACATATTTTTAATTTGCAGCATCCAATTTTTAGTATTATCCTTTAGAGGAATATTTAAAATTCAGTTGGAAACTTCATAAGTAGGCTTCAGCTAATACTGTAATTCTGTGTAGTTTTCCTCCTAATCTCACAATTCATATTTATGAATTGGATTCTGTATTTTCAGCAGGAAAAAAACATTTTAGACAATTAAAAAGATTGAGTATATTACTTAATTTTCATCAGGTAATTTAGTTTCGTTCTTGACTTCTTTACTTCTTAAATTGGATAAACGTGTCATGCCACCTTAATTCACAGGCATTTGAATTAAAAATTCTTTAGCACCAATTTTATGATTTGCTTCAGAGGACTTCCCTTCTTAAAAAAATATGGATTCAAACTAATAATGAAATTGCTTTTTCCAGAAGCTCAAAAACCAGATCACTAGCTCTGATAGATTCATATGTTCAAACTATCAATATTTCTGAAACCAAAGGGCTGATTTTAGATAGATATACTATGCCCAGTATGGTTGTAATACATACTTACACATCCTGTGAAAGCACTGTCATCTCTCTCTTCTCTGCCCGCAGTTTTGATAAATTGGCTTTTTGTGGGGTATCAGTTAAAGGCCAAACACAGATTATCTTTTCATCCCTGCTCTGTGTTGTGTTACTGTGAAATGGAGGCTTTTTATGTTTTCAGTATTTTCTATATCATTTGAAGGATTGGAAGCCTACTGAGTGCACTGATCTTTATATCGTTTCTCCTGTGTGTAGTGTTGGTGGCTTACATAATCATTCTCCTTTGCCACTGGAGGAACATTGTATTCTTTTGAGCTAACCAAAGTTTTGTTCCATAAAGTCACTTGCAGTTGAATTTAGTATGGTTTCTGTCCTCAAATTAGAAAAGGAACACAGCATCCATTCCCAAACAGTGGAATCGGTCAGAGCTGCCAAGAATTATGTCTTTCTGGAGCCAGTTCCTGTAATCTAGTCTATAGATCAAGAACAGTGTTGAGAAAATATTATTTTCAGACTTTTAAGTTATTTCTTGCGCTGTTTAAGAAAGGAAAATGTGGATATCTTCTGGAACATCTAACTTTCAAAATTTACTTTTTCAGTTCTCCAGAAGTAATGTACACTGTGTAATAGACTTGCAAATAGCAATACTCAGAGAAGTATTTGTTCTTTTTAGTTTTTGTCCTTAAAAAAGAAAACAGTAATTAATTTGCTGTTACCTTTCTAGATGTTTGCAGGAGACAGAAATAAGTCTATGGCTTTTTTAAACTACTCCTTGCTAAAGAGTAGAAGTAATTACAATTCCTATATACTGTTCAGTAGTGACACACTATAAACTGCATGATTTTCACTAATATTATAATTAATGCAAAGGATCTTTTTAGATTGTTCTGATCTTATTTAGGACTGTGTATCTTCTTAATCTCTTTTCCCCATTATCCTCTCCTTTTGTTTCTTTATGCTTCTGTCCTTTATAACCATCTCTTGTTTTTATTTTAAGTGTCTAGCTTTCACTTTTCCCTTGTTTTAATAGTATTTTGGTACTTTGTAATGTTTGCATACTCCTTTTACACTTAGTTGATAAAAACTGTCACTGTCAGATAACATTTATTATGTGTCTGTTACCACCTGGCTTTATGCCAGTTTCTATCCAGAGCAAGTTCTTCAGGAGCATATCCATCCCAAACTATTTCCACTTATTTAAAAAAATTTTAGAAATTTTCCATGATCTCTGAAGATTTTATAATAAATTTACTCAGCAGAGTCCATTATAAATGCTGTTATTTTTTAACTTTGTATGTTTATAGACAGGCACATATGTTTGATTAGTAATTGAATGAATGTGTGTTTAAAAGAAGTCATAAGGATCTTGTAGGATAAAGGAGAGTAATCAGATTAGAGTTTCCATATCCTACAGATGCGATTTGGTTTTGATTTTTGTACCCTCCTATCTCAAATTATCATTAAGTTATTAAAGTTATACCATAAATTCAGCTATGTTTTATTTTATGAGAAAAAAACTTTTACTATTGATTCAATCATTATTAATGAATAAACATAAGATTATTCAAAATGAAATAGTGTGTCACTGCAGATACAGAGTATGTAGGCTTTAGTTTGTTTGGGTCGATTTCTTGTCTTGCATAACCGTGTCCTCCACTGATGTTAGTGGGTCACGTATTTATGTTTGTTCTATAGCATAGTAAATGTATTGTTATGAATTAATTCATACAGTCTCTTAAGACAAGTTGCAATATATATTTGTGATGAAGAATGCTAATTTCATTAATTTTATTGTATTTTAATATTTTTCTCGGTTGAGTGAATTTTGGCTGATTTGACAAATATATATCCTTTGGGTTGTCATAAAAATCATAATGTAAGGTCTTTTGTTTTGAATATCCATATTTTATGCACTTCATCAATCATCAAAAGTTTTATTTAATTTTTTTTTTACTTTTACATTTGAATGTTACTTCTCAGTTTTCATTAGAATTATAAATTATATACAATATATATCCATTTTATTTTCTTTAATATAAATATAAAAGTTAAATCATAAATGAAGTTATCCCTATTTAATATTTTGCTCAGTAACTGCCCTGTCATTTTATCATATCAAATAATAAAACCCAGCCATTTTCAATGGAAATGGAAAACAAAATATATTTTCTACATCCTTTATTGAACTTGTTTTAAGTTCTGTTTTAAATGCGTAACATTTTAAAATGTATTATTCCCATCTTTGCATTTAATTGATGTATTTCAGTATACTCATCCTTTCCTAAAAATAAAGAATATAGCTGTATATAAAGATAGTCTGAGCAGACTCAACACTAACGATTTATTTTATCCTCATTTTCCCACCATGCCCTTCCTTTATTGATTCTAAGAAGGTATAATATTGCTCTTCACTGAGCAGTAATTTTAGGACCAGTGGTTTATAAAAAAGAATTGTTCCACGTCAGTAACACTGAATTTCCTTTTTACTGGATGTAGTCAGGTTTACGCATTAATAGAGCAAGTATGTTTCCTGAAAGTGGTTAAATAGACCAAGTTGGACAGGGGAGGTGGTGTCTTAATGTGGAAGGTTTCCTATGGCAAAAATATTTGTGTGATATGTTTCTCCCTAAGGTATTTCAGGAGGTCAGTATTTAATCTTGATGAATTATCATAATTAAAAAAAATTAATCAAGCTAAGGCATCTTAATGAAATGTGCAACTACTACAGTATCTTTGAGTAGTCAGTTTGGAGACACAGTATTAGTACACCCTAATGCATTTTAATAAGGGAAGAGGGAGAATCACAGACATTAATCTGGGCACTTTACTAAATTCAGGCAACATACTTCAAAACCTACATACAAAATCTAAAATAGTATTTTATGGTTTGTAATTATTAGAATACTATTTACCAGCAAGAATCTTATATACCATACTTCTAACTGCATAATCCATTTCTTTAAACTTCTTGGAGGGAGGATTTTTTTCTCCTATAACTCTACTAATCAGGTTTGTTTTATGAAAGCATTTACCTTTTATGGGGTCTGTGGAATCAAGGTATTTGCTTTGAATGCTTGGTATGATTGTTGTTGCATGCTAGCTTGCTTTTGTGTAAATTGATGATGGTAGACAATGTCATAATAAGCTAACCATAATTCTTTCTTCCTTTTTTCTCCTTGCCTACTGTGCTTGCTTTTTCCTTGTATGTATTTTGCTTACTTTTTTTTAATAGACTTTGTATTACAAGTTTGAGATATGTGATATAGAGAATTTAATAAGAATTTTATAATATAAAGTATATATAAATGTAAATAAGTAAATTTACTGATTATTAGTGGGGAAGAAAGGTACTACCTTAGCGTACCCTTCAAAGTAACTATTGGGGTAAAGGGGGAGGCTTATATATTCCTGAAAAGGAGGCAGATATTTTATAGTTAAGATAGATTTTTCTAGAAACAGAAAATTTAATAGAAAGAAATTGAAACGTACTGAGATGCATAATTATATATTTCTTCTTACATCTTTGAAAAATGTAACAATATCAGTATTCATTAGCTTTGACCTGAGCTTCAAAATTGAGTTGCCATGTTTATAAATATATTTCCCTGTTGTTATGCTTACCTAATTTTAGTCAGCTTAATAATGAGTTTGCATAAGATAAATGGGGATGATACACCTATGCATGCATTTGTGTCTATAGCCTACCTATTTAAAGTAAAACTTGATAAGAATGCTGAGTGACTTGGGAAAGGCAAGAGTATGTACACCATGCATTAGTGAAGGGTTTCATTATTTATTCAGGTACACTAAGTGAAGCAACATGCCAACATATTTGTATTGCCTCCTTAATCTACTAAAATGATTGATCCATGTTCTTTTATGTAACTTTAGTATCTTTTCTCCTGCTAGGTTTTCCTGTTGTGTTTCTCTTTATCCAAAGTAGTGCAGCTCTTATTCTTCTTATATTTAGCATCTATTACTAATTCAGTCTTAGACTGTCAATTTATTTTAATCTTTTTTCTTTTTTCCTTGCACTTTTTTTTTTCTTCCGATGCTTAAAATAGAAGTGGAGCAAAAAGGTAAATAACGTATACAGTTTGAACCCCAGCTCCCTGTTATGTGCCTTATGGATGTTACCTTCTCCCTTCCCTTCCCCTACAACACTCCTGACATTAATATATAATTAGCAGGATCTCATAAATGCACGTCATAAAGAAGTCGACTGTTTACAGTGAAATTATATGACTGCTAAATCTGGTGCCGGGGTAAAATTTCTGAAGTCGGCGAGGGGGAGCTGTCCTTTCTCTGTTTCTTTTCACTCTTTATCTCTTTTTCTGATACCCTTGGATATTTTATTATTAAAGTGTCATCTTGCCTGGCTTCCAGAACCCTCTCCATAGCATGCCATGGTTACAGGGTCTCCTGGTCGTTTCATCACTCCTTTCCTCGTATTTACTTTTCTCTGCTTCTAATTGCATTTTCCGAATATTTATGTTCCTTCAATTGAAGCACTTTTGTTTTCAGTCTAAGTTCCATAGACGTTCTAAATAAGCCTTCACATTGGGTTTGTTTTATTTGCTTAATTTTGATGTTCTGCTTTTGGGGGCTTATAAGTGGGCTAAGGAAGGGAGGGTACAAAGTTTGGTCTAAAAGTACTTTGTTCACCCTTATGTACAAAGCTCAGAGTTTTAAAGCATAAATTACCGAATTATAAGGTAAAAACACATAGCAAAAATGTAAATTGTTAGCTCAATCATGAATGATCCTAAACTTAGGTTTGTATTTGTGAAAATAAACCCCAGCTGCTTTGTATGCTGGTACATCAATTATGGTAACTTAAGGAAAGAAAGGTAGTACTTGTGTTAAGTATAATTTCTGGTAAAATTGAATGCTAATAGAGTGAATTTTTCTCTTTTGATCTATGATCATTAAAACTTGGTATGCCTGTATAGTCTTCTAACTTTGCTTAATTCTTGTTTTTTCTCTGTGACTGTTAGTTTTTGTGTGCCCTGGGACCTTGAAAGCAATTGTGGATTCACCATGTATATATGAAGCTGAACAAAAGGCAGGTGCTTGGTGCAAGGACCCTCTTCAGGCTGCAGATAAAATTTATTTCATGCCCTGGACTCCATATCGTACTGATACTTTAATAGAATATGCTTCTTTAGAAGATTTCCAAAACAGTCGCCAAACAACAACATACAAACTTCCAAATCGAGTAGATGGTACTGGATTTGTGGTATATGATGGTGCTGTCTTCTTTAACAAAGAAAGAACAAGGAATATTGTGAAATTTGACTTGAGGACTAGAATTAAGAGTGGAGAGGCCATAATTAACTATGCTAACTATCATGATACCTCACCATATAGATGGGGAGGAAAAACTGATATTGACCTAGCAGTTGATGAAAATGGCTTATGGGTCATTTATGCCACTGAACAGAACAATGGAATGATAGTTATTAGCCAACTGAATCCATACACTCTTCGCTTTGAAGCAACGTGGGAGACTGTGTATGACAAGCGAGCTGCATCAAATGCTTTTATGATCTGTGGAGTCCTTTATGTGGTCAGGTCAGTTTATCAAGACAATGAGAGTGAAACAGGCAAGAATGCAATTGATTATATTTACAATACCCGATTAAACCGAGGAGAATATGTAGATGTTCCCTTCCCCAACCAGTATCAGTATATTGCTGCAGTGGATTACAATCCAAGAGATAACCAACTCTACGTGTGGAACAATAACTTCATTTTACGATATTCTCTGGAGTTTGGTCCACCTGATCCTGCCCAAGGTAAGAATGTTTGCTTGCTAATGCTTATATCTTTTATGAACAGTTTATTTTTAAGACTTCTTAATTTTTTTCCTATTTATTTTCTTTCCCTTTTCATAGTTCAAGGGCAAATGATAATATTGTGGCATTTCAAATTGTCACATACTGTGTACATTTTAGCCTTATATTGGTCCATTTTCTTTTTCTGAATTTCTTCGTTTAGACGTTGGTTTCAAAAAATTGTAGCATCCTTGGTCAGTTTAGATTTTCATTGCTAAAAATGTAATGCCAACTACAAACCTGTTAGCTTTGTGTGTTTTTTCTACCTGACTTCTGAATTGATTATGTGCAGACCTTTTAACTTCTTGGCGCCAGTGGTTAAAGGAAATTTTTGTTAGAAAGTCCCAGGAGAATTGCTAGGCTTGATGTACAATGCCAGGCATAAGTATTCTGAAGTTTTGGCCTCTGCTCTCTGGGTAGGAGAAGGAGTCATCTAACATCTTGCTAGATCATCATGTAAAATAACACATTTTTACTTCCCAATAAATTTGTGACTGTTTTAGGTCAGTATTTCTGTGACTTTAACTGTTACACATGGACTAAGCATTAAATGATCCCAAGTGTTGATTTATGAAGACAAATCCACTAGCATTTTTTGATTTGTGTTCTCTTCAGGTATCTTTATGTAGGATCATTACTTTATAAATCTTTGGAAATATATTTTAGTTTAGCAAGTTAATTCAGTTCTGCAGTGAACAGTTTTTGAGGGTAAATGAAGTTTTGGATATTTCATTAAAGCAAGATTACCTCATACTCATATGAGGTAGAAGATAGAAGAATGACCTCTTAATATATTATTATAGAGCTTGCACTTATTATGTCTTTTCTATTTGAGCAATATTATTTGTGTTTTAAAGATCTGAATTATTTCAATTTTCTGAGTTAATTAGAATTATCATATTATTGAGTTACTTCAAAATTGTAGGAGCCAGAATGTTCCTTGGAGTGACTAAATCAGTCTCTTCAACAAGGTGGAACATAAATTAACGTCTTTTTCTTCTGTTAAAGTAGTGTACATTCACACACTTAAACACAATTACATACACCCACACATAGTTTAGGGTATAATGTTACTAAGTTCTAAATATTGTCATAGGGTTAGGACCTCAAAAGCAGAAGCCTTTTGTAATTGAATTTCTAATTTGAGTTATAGAATACAAAAATATGTGATTTTTCTTCTTAACTTAAGGGCAATAATGACATATGACTTAGTATAAGCCCCCTTTTTCTCTAATTCATGTATGTCTAGAATTTGTTGGGTGAAAATTGCAGCAGTGTCCCATTGTTAAATTTTCAACAATGAAATCTGTTAAGACATAAAAATCTTTGTTGATAGTCATAGTATTCTTTATTTTTAAATTCAGACCTATCTTTTTTCTCTTGAGGCTAGCAATTTGGGATGGTTCCTATATCTCAGTTGCTTTTCTAAACGCTAGTACTATGCTTCTCCTTTATCCTATAGGTTTGTAAAAGGCAGAAGGTCAGTAATTGACAAAATTTGACACTGTGGAGATACATGTGTTAATCTTTTTTGTAACCTGTATTACCCTCACAGCTGTTAAATTTATCTTGGGTAGCAGTAAATCTCTTTCCCTCCATTAGAAAAAAATAGAAAATAAATTTTAAAAATGTAAATTCATAATCAGGCAGCACCTAAAGTTGAGTACAGATGCAGCTCAACAAGGAATCATTGCCTCCCTGATTGTCACAGAGTACTTCATAAAATACAAGATGAGTAAAAATGTCATTTTCCACATGTGGCTTATGTTCTAGTAAATAACTTGATCCATTTCAGATGAAAGAATCTTTGATAATTTGGATGCTTTTTGGAAAAAAGTTACCAGCTTCGAAAATGAGAAACTTAGCCATATGTGGTAACTGCATTCCTACAGCTGTGTTGTGTTATCCAAAATAGTTAACCATTCTTATATATTCTCAGAAAGTGAAAATTTGTATTGACCCCTTATTAAACCCTTAGTGGTAAAAAGTTTTATCTGACCTAAATTTCTTGCTGATGTTTGAATTGTATTCTCTTATTCACGTGCTCTTTATAATTTACCTTCAAATGCTTTTAGAGAGACTCCTGCCTCGCTCATCTAAGATATGTGCTGTTATCTAACTGCATGTAGATGGGGCATTGCAGAACTATTGTGGCTCATACATTTAGGTCAAACCAGTAAGCCACTGTCAGCAAGTCTTATGTACTGGCTTTGCTACCATGTATATAGCTGAACTGTACATTGTGCTGTAAAATGGATAATTTTTCATTGTGGACTGTTTCACTGTATTAGCTTCAATACTTTTCCCCATTTATAAATCCAAGCCTTTCATTCCTAACAGCACAAGTACATTATTGCTTGGCCTTGATAATGTTTTCAAATACATCTTTCTTTTTTTCTTTAAATTTTTAGCTTTTTGTGATCTCGGCATAGTTAATTTGCTCCATTTCCTTGAACTAGGTCTGTTTTTCCTCTTTTACTTTTTTTCTCTATAAAATGGGCTTAGAAAAATCCCATTTCAGTCATATATTAAGATATATCATATATATCTTTTCTATGTCTTAATCTGAATTGATTTATATATATACTTAATCTGTCTTCAGATTTGATATCCCAAACATTATCGAAAAATATTGTGTCTTGAGTGTTGACAGTTTCTGAATATCTGTCTTAGAGTAATAATGAAGTATGACACTTAAACAACATGTGGGAAATTTTTTATCAAGAGAGCCAGTTAGGTCTATTACTTAGGAAGTGTTCAGTGTAGAATACATATTTCTTAAAACATCTTCCCACTGATAATGCATGCTAATTAAAAGATGATCAGTGTTTGTAGACATCGAATAAGGGTAAATTTAATAAATCTGCAGTTTTTGCCTTACCAGGCTACAGACTCACTCTAACTGGAGTTCATTCAGTGAATAATGGGTGAGTTTTGGGACTTGGAAGAGGGAAATAACAACCCATATTGTCCTTAAAATCTTTTCACACAGGAAAAAGCTGGCGATAATTAGCAAGTTCTTAGTAAATACTGTCGTAGTAAATTGAATCATTCTGTATGTGTTTGTTGAAATTTTCATGGGTACCTATTAAATATGTTTATTAGCATTATTGGCACCGTTTCTACATCTCTGTACTCAAATAATAAATGGTAGGTAGAATGTTAAGTCATTTAATCTGTGTGTTTGATATGGCCCCTGATAATTTTGGGACAGGCTCTGTAAAGTAGGGTTTAGATTTATGACATAAGTCTATTGTGAGTTGCCATGTTTTCTGTTACCATTTATAGGATATTCTTGAGTTTTGAGCCTTTTGCCACATACGGTTCCTTACGAAACTTTTTATTGCTTCAGTATCTTATGTTCCCACATTTTTTCTTCTTTTAAAGATTTATGCAGAACACAGTGTCAGTTAAATGCTCCAAAATAAGGGCAAATTGCTTAGTAGGGTGCCATACTTTCCCAGAGTCTCTGAAAATCTTTTATCTAGAAAAGTAAGATCATAACATTTAAGAGTATGGACAAGTGAACCTGAACAAATTGCTTAACCTCCTCCATGGCTCAGTCTTCTCTTCTGTAAAAGGAAGATAATCATAGTGCCTACTTCATGGGGTTGTGATAAGGATTAAATAAGATGATCTGATGATCCATGAATGGTGATTAGCACAGCATCTGGTACATAAATGCTGAATAAAGTGTAAGCTTTTATCATCATGGGGTGCCCTGTTGTGACCTGTCTTCACCTAGGGAAAGAAATATTAATTTTTAGAAATACCTCTTCATTTCTAGCTTCAACATTAGAAAAAAATGCTTTCCTTGAAGTTGTTAAGCTTTGGCCTTGCAAAATCTTATAGTTGCCCTCCTAAAGGGTTTCATTTTGCCACTTAAAGTTGACGTTCATGTTTATTTTCATGGTACCCCAATATTTCATTGGTTTACCTTTGAAGAATGTGTTGCTTCCCTTTAAACTTCTTTTGATGAACAAAAGGTAAAAAGGTATGAAATTTTATTATCAATGACACATGCAAATATGGTATAGAATGTTGCATGAAATTTTGTGCATTTAATAAAAGTCATTTTATTGCCTACCTTCACTCACTTATTATGAATCTTTACTGATGCTCAGCAAACAGATCACTAATTGTAGTATTGTTAATACATATTTCAGTGATTAAATATGTACTAATTAGCACAGTGTCAAGGGATACATCAGAAGGTGTAGCACTAAACCATTTTGCTCTGCCCTTTTCTCTTTGTTCCGGATCCCCCCCGCCCCCGGCTTTTAGATTTCATTCAGCAGCATTCACATGACACTTCTGCAAAAGATTGTGATGCTTTTGACAAATGTTAATTGAGAAAGCACTGAAAGCCTGGCTGCATTGTAATCAAAAGAAAATTACGAGGTTTAACAGGATGTCAGGGAAGCGCTTTACAGGAAAAGATAAACAGGTTTGAATAGGTTTCTGCAGCAGCTGGCTAGGCATGATGCTTGGCTAATGTACACAGGCTTCTCTCATATGGTCAGTAACTGATGCCCTGGAAATAAAACATTGCTTAAGAAGTTTCTCTTGTGATAGAATGAAAAAAGGGTGTAAAAAGTGTGTCTTGCACTTATTGATAACAAGAAGTTTCTCACTACTAAAGAACTAGGAACAAGTACACACTACTTTTTCTGATAAACTTAGCATACTCTGTCATAGAGTCAGAATTATGTAAACTATTTATGGACCAGAACTTAATATTATCAGTGATAATATGAACTTGTTTTCCAAGAAGTTTTAATGTTCTAATTTGTTTTTTATGTATAGCAAAGCCATAAATTAAGTTAATGTTTTATAAGATTATTTTAAAAAATAGTTATTTTTAGTTTGCTCTACTCAATTTAAATTTAAGGCATCATATTTACAAGGTCTTAAGAGCCAGTAATCTAAATGTTGATAAAACTATAGTGTGATCACCTAATAGATTTTAAATGGTGCCATTAAAGTTTTACTGACAGAATTTTTGTTGTTTTTTTTAAATTAAGTGTTAATGAGGGAAACATTAAGCTCCATTATTATTTTAACCTAGTGGATTCAACAGTTTAAAAGTAATGTTGGAAGTCCAAAATAACCTTAAATTTTTTTTATTTTAAAATTTCTACGCTTAAATCCACTTTTATATTTTTAAATCCTTTTATGCTCTCTGTTAAAGGTCAGTAGGATATGTAGGGTTGTTTTCAAATTAGGCATTATTTGATCGAACCCGTTATCTTGATATGAGATTGCATTGTAACCTCTGACCAGACGTAGTTTCTTTTTCATACCTGTCTTTTCAAAAGTAAAAATGTCGAAGCCTCAGATGTTTCCTTACTGAAATAGCACAAGCATGCCCAGCTTATCTTCTGTTTGGATCTAATCAGGCATGCTCAAAAATCTCTCAAGCAAGAATGGCTGCTGGGTGGAAAGATGTTACAGTATTTGTTTTCCTTCAAGATGCAGAGTGGGTGACTTGAAATTTTCTATTGTCCTAATTATATGTAATGGTTAGACTTTTGTTGATACTTTGAATTTTATTGTTTCAGAGTATGAATTTATATAAGAAACGGATTTTTCTAAATGTATTTGATATGACATAATGTATTTGATATGTACATTGAAATTTTCTATATGAAACTGCCCTTCATTTCCTGTTACATGATATATGATGAAATTGTACATAAAATTTATTATCAAATATTTCATTGAGAAGTAAGCCTAGCACAATTAGAGTCATAGAGCAAAATCTATGGTAAATCCTAAACTGCCATCGCTTAGCCAACAATATGAATAAATTGGAATAAATGAAGAGATTTATTCTTCCTCCCACCCTACGGATATTCTCATTAATTTCTCATTTTGTTGGTTTTGGGGTAGTTGGATGGGTAGGGTGTGTGTGTGTGTGTGTGTGTGTGCACGTGCGTACACGTTCACATATGAGTGCAAGTGTGTGTTTGAGATTAACATACTCATCTTTTTTCCGTAGTGCCTACCACAGCTGTGACAGTAACTTCTTCAGCTGAGATGTTCAAAACCACAGTATCAACCACAAGCCCTTCACAGAAAGGCCCCATGAGCACAACTGTAGCTGGATCTCAGGAAGGAAGCAAAGGGACAAAACCACCTCCAGCAGTTTCTACAACCAAAATTCCTCCTGTAACAAATATTTTTCCCCTGCCAGAGAGATTCTGTGAAGCATTAGACGCAAGGGGGATAAGGTGGCCTCAGACACAAAGGGGAATGATGGTTGAACGACCATGTCCCAAGGGAACGAGAGGTATTTCCTGTCAAATACTATATATACATTTTAAAACTTATTTTAGGGGCTTCCCTGGTGGCGCAGTGGTTGAGAGTCCGCCTGCCGATGCAGGGGACACGGGTTCGTGCCCCCGGTCCGGGAAGATCCCACGTGCCGCGGAGCGGCTGGGCCCGTGAGCCATGGCCGCTGAGCCTGTGTGTCCGGATCCTGTGCTCCGCAACGGGAGAGGCCACAACAGTGAAAGGCCTGGGTACAGCAAAAAAAAAACCAAACAAACAAAAACTTATTTTAAGTAGGTTCTGAACTACACAGAAGTGATTTTATTTGAGGAAAGAGATATTTACGATAGCTAACTTCATTGTTGTTTTTGTTACTTTGGTAATATAGCACATGTAGACAACTTAAAGGTTTTTAAACTGTAAAAGTCATTTAAGGTCAGGCACTGAATTAAATTCTCTCCCTCTTAAAGACCTAGGTCAAGCCTGAGATTTTTGCCCATGGATTCTCTAGTGAAGCTTCCTTACAGCTGTCTTTCTCATTGCAATGTATCATTTTGGATGAGTCCCAAGAAAATCAAGGGCTTTTTGTTTGTTTGCTGTAAATGTCTGATATTTCTGTGCTGACTTTATATTTACTGTTTATAGTCTGTATTATACCCTACTTTTCATCAGTTATTGTCAACTACTTCCATTAATGTTTATTCAAAATTTAACACACGGAGTAGGATCATCATAGCTGATTTCCCGAATGCATGCAGAAAAAATGGTTTCAATTTCACTGTTGCTTTCTACATCTGTTGTAGGAACTGCCTCGTATCTCTGCATGCTTTCCACTGGAACATGGAACCCTAGGGGCCCCGATCTTAGCAACTGTACCTCACACTGGGTAAATCAGCTGGCTCAGAAGGTTGGTTGGAACCTTTTAATATGATACACATTGGTGATTAAGGGCTTTAACTTCTAACATAAATAATTTAACTTTGTATGTTAAAACCAGCTTCGTTGCTCTTTGTTCAGCGTAAAAGTAAAAAATTATGCATAGCTTTGTCTGTAAACTATTTATTCAAAGTTACATATGTTTTAGGGCATGCTGTTTTCTATGTTAAGCTTTTTAATGAGTACATAGTTGCTTAATTTCATTCATATTTAGTTCTGTTTCTTTTGATGTTTGTAAGACAAATAGTGTATTGGCCTAATAAATCAAGTATCATTAATCTGCAACTGAATCCACAGAATGCAAGCAGATGTTCATATTGCAGATGATTATGATAGAATAAGAAAAATTACTTTAAAAGGCATTAGTAACTTTAATATTACATTGTAATGCAGTGACATTTTAGTTTCTCCTTCGCCATCTACCTTTCTAAAATGCAAGCAGTAGATAATAATAGCCCTCAGTATTATATTAATTACATTTTCACTTAAATTTTTGGATCATTGGAATAAATAAGTAAGATTTTTAAATAGCAGTTTTAAATGGTTGCAGTGAAATGAGAGAACTATCTCAAAAATTTTTTAAACGATTTCTGATTTTTTTACCTTTTGTTTCTTTAAAATGTCTGATTAAGTATATGTTTTTGAGGATCTAAGAATCTTTAATCATCTGAAATGAAGAGAAATTATTGGTCTCAGTTGCAGATTTTGACATATTTGCAAATACTTTTCTCACCACAACAAAGATACTTGGGAAAAAAATAAGAAGCCACAAACAGAACAAGAAATCTTACTGAGATAATATAAACTGTCATTTCAGATCAGAAGTGGAGAAAACGCTGCTAGCCTTGCCAATGAACTGGCTAAACATACCAAAGGGCCAGTGTTTGCTGGGGACGTGAGTTCTTCAGTGAGGTTGATGGAGCAGTTGGTGGACATTCTTGATGCGCAGCTGCAGGAACTGAAACCTAGTGAAAAGGATTCAGCTGGACGGAGTTATAACAAGGTAGGTAGAAATTTTCCGTTGTTTTCAATTAGATGTTTTGTATGGCTGCTCTGGATTCTTCCAGCAGTTAACTGCCTAACTTTTGGCCCCCTGGACAAACGCATAGAAACAGAACTTCTAATTTGGTTCATATCTCAAGAAAGAATTATAGTTGGGAAAGGAGCAACGTGCACACCCATCCCCACCCCCCAAATGACGCTAATTACCTGAGGGAGATTTTAGTTGGTGGTAAACGTCATCTGCCTGGTTTTGGTCAGTACTCTCACTTTGGAAGGCCCACTAGGAGAGATTCTGTTACACAACTGATATACTAATACAGTCAACTCTTGTGATTGTAAGAAAATTGTGAGGCATATAGGAATGTTAGCCACTGAAATACTGTTTTCAGTGGTAGGTTTTGAGAGAAGGACAAGTTTCCTTTGCTAGGAGTATAGTGTGTTAGTGCTACTAATTTTTCCTACCTTGACAAAAATTTGATAGTTATTTTAACCACACTGTAAAGTGTTTATATGAAATTCATATGAATCCGAAATCTGTGGCTGAAATGGTTTTATGGTTTTTTTCTTCCTTTTCATCACATACTTTGTCTCTAGGTTTATCAAGATACTTTGGATTATCATGTGTAGTAAAATACAGCTGAAAACTGAATACACAATCTTGGCAATCAGTAGACTCACACAAATCCAGAGGATTACGGTACATAATAAACGCTGAGCTCAGGACCACCAGCTTAATTTCTGAGGATTTCTTCTTTCCTCAATTTTCAACAGATAAAAATCTAACCTCTGATTTTCTTTTCTTTTACTAAAAAGCTCCAAAAACGAGAGAAGACATGCAGGGCTTACCTTAAGGTATCTCCCCTGTGCTGTCACCCTGCTTTCTCCCTTCTTCAGCTACCTGTTACGCTTTATCATCTTGCTGCATGATCCAATGTATTTCAGTCTTTGATAATTATATAATGTGCCCCATATCAGCTGTACAAATGTTGGCTTTTCACAGGTATATTACTCTCAGAATAAGCAAATAATTTATTTTTATAATTTTTGCTGTTTTTCCATTCATCCAAACATACAAGAATTTTAATGAAATATCCTCTGAATTGGAAAGTTATCATAAAGTCTCGTTATATCCTGTTGTCATCTCTGTGGATTGAAAAACAACTTGAGTGAAACAGCTATGATATATTCCTGGCAGTTTATCATATCAAAGACTGTGTAGTCATAATGTATGTGCATGAAAAAGTCACTGCTTTCTTATCTCTGTGGTGTACTCTTAAATGAAACAGGCTTTGTCTTGAAATTTTTTGGAGTCATTTCTAGAATCAGGTTGATAAGGGGATGGGTTACTAGAAATAAAATATAAATAATGTGACAGTGCTCTCGATATATGTTATATGTTGGTTTTTATCGAGATGATAGAAACGGAAAGCCACTGTTTGGCTCAGAATCCTTGTCCACTGCTGCCAGTTTTTCTCACTGGTATATCCAAGTAAAATAGGAAACATGGTGAGGCTAACTGGAATTATGCCAAGCCAGTTCTGTGTGGTAGATCCAAATAATAAAGAAGTTCCTTTTGCTGGGGATGGTTACTTTCTAACCCTACTCATCTGGGGACCATATTCCTAGTCAATCAAACCTTGAAGAACTAATCTGTATATGTATGAAAACAAAACGAAAGAACTTTGTAAGTTTTGTAGAATAGAGATTATTCAAAAGATATGACTTCACCAGTTTTAGTTGGCAAGATCTAGAAAAAAAGAACAGCATTTCACTAACGAGTAATAGACATTGCTGCATCTGAGAACTTTACAGGAAAAGGCAGTGGGAAAGTCTGTTTTTAGGTGGTAATATTTTGTAAGTCCCTTATTAGCCTGTTTAATGGGGGCAAAGAAATAGATACTGAAGTGTATAGAATTTGTTGTACGGAAATTTTCAGCTCACCTTTAAGGTATTAGTTAACGTGTGAAATGTAATAATTAGTATGTTGCCCAGGACATATATCTCAGTGGGAATAGAATAGCTTTTTTTCTTTGGCAGGGAGACTACTTCAGGAATATGATTAGGCTAATGATCATTTTGATTCCACTAGAAAAATACAACTAGTAATAACTAAGGAGCATTACAAATTAATAAAAGCATGCCATCAGCGAGTTATGTGTATAGGTAGTAAATTTCAGCATGACCTTAATTTCTGACCAGTGTCATTTTCAGTATGTCTCAAGTGAGCTTCTGTGTTCAGATAAAACTAATAAAACTCCTTAAGTTACAAATCAGAAGCTGACTTACACTGTGCAAATGAAGCGAGTTCCTGCTTTGTGACAGAGGATTCATTTGTAACTTAGATTAGAGGCTCCAGTCTGTATTTCTTGGTGACTAATGAATCTGGCCTCAGCAGACCAATTTCTGTTCCATTCTAGTTAATGGCTGTAGCAGTATCAGTGTGAGCATTTTGACTATTCTATCTCCCATCAGAGAGAGAAAAAAGCCTTTAATGCCACTTGCGAGTATCTTCTACCTGCTAGGAAGGTCGTGGTGGCTCACGTGGCAGACAGAACGAGGATATTAAGTTGGACTAAGCTAATTAATCTTAACTCTGACAGTAGCCTCAAACAACTTTTCCCGTGCTCATTTCAATATAGTACCTCAAACTAGCAATTTTTGTTGTTCTTTGTAGAGTGTGTTTTTTTTTCTCAGTGATTATCAGTAGATCAAAACAATTGATATTTGGGCTTAATGACACATTATGGCTAGGTAAATGGGAAAGAGTAAATAAACTCAGTGATTTCAGTTATCCAAGCCATAGTCAGTGTACAGCTACAGTAAGTATCAGTACAAAAGCCTGCCTTCAATTGCTTAACTGACCGGATTACATTTTTATTTAATGTTGTTTTACATGGTAATAAACTAAACCTACACGTAGGAATATTTATAACTTGGATATTTATTAAGACTTTACTTTGCCTTTCTGTTTTTCTTAAATTATTAGTATAGGTTTTAAATATTTTGACTGTTCTCTTGATCTCCTTAAAAACAGATGATTGTTTATGAATTAAGGTATACTCTCGAGTGTTTTTTAGCTGGCCAGGCAATTGGAAGAGTTGAAAATGTTCACAGATAACTTATACACTTTGAAATCACCTTGTTTTTTTCCCAATGATAATAAGTAGACAACGTTATAAGGCACAATTTTGGTTATTATTTTTAGTTCAGGTTCCAAAAAACAATATGGTTTAATTTTCAAGCATAGGTATTAGGCTACTCTAGAGACACCAGTGTTTTCTATTTAGAACATTTAAGTCTTGAGGTTTTATGTAGGAGTGACCATGCATGTAGGGGTAATACCTCAGATTAAGAGCTGACACTGGTTTTATTTCTTTGCAACAATTGAAATATGATTAGATAAACAGAAACAAGTCATCTCTTTATACTTAGTCTTTATAATCAAATAGTAGTCTACTGATATTCAGCTAGTTCTATTTTGAAAGGGTCAGACATCAAGTTGGCCACATATATGTCGTCCAGGTGTTCTTCCGTAAGAGTAAATCATCATGACAGATAAATATTACAGTTGTCACTAGTCAGTGATTGAAAATCACCTTGGTACTAGAAGTAGTCAAAACTAATGATAGTTTTCTAATGGATGCAGGCAATTGTTGACACAGTGGACAACCTTCTGAGACCTGAAGCTTTGGAATCATGGAAACACATGAATTCTTCTGAACAAGCGCATACTGCAACAATGCTACTGGATACGTTGGAAGAAGGAGCTTTTGTCCTGGCTGACAATCTCGTAGAACCAACCAGGGTCTCAATGCCCACAGAAAATATTGGTGAGTGAATCTATTGTCAGGTTTAATTTTGATTTAGAAGATAGATGTTTAAGAGAATAATGCTTCCATTGAGTCTTGTGAGTTATTTCCCAGTGCCAAACTTCTATTTTGTCCAATTATTTTTGTCCCTTAATAAGAGATATTATTGATCACACTCATAAAATTAATGCAAAAGCCAAAATCTATCCCATGTCTTTTAAAAGTTGGTGTTTTTTTCCAACTGAAAAATCATTAAAGGAAAACAGTGTGTAGAGTACTTAACTGCAAGAATATGGATTGCTTACGTAATGAAAGTGCTTGCTGTGGAGCTGTGGCGAATGCCTTTCCATTTTATACAATACGTTCCTAATGAGGTTAAATTACTTTCTGAAATGCGTTCTCCCAAATATTTTAGGCACGCAGATATTTGAGCCAAACATTTATATTAAACAGAACTGCTTTCAGGTGAAAATGTGGTCAGTGAACTACATCACCCATAGAGCAGAATATCCATGCTTTATAGACTGTAAAACAGCTGCGGATAGTTTTGAAGCATCATTTAGAATTTAAATGCTGGCAGTGAGAGGTAGGAATTCACTTTTGATGGTATTTGAAAGAAGTACTACTGTAAGTACAGTGAAATTATATTAATATAGGCTTGACTGATTTAGAATTGTTATTCAGTGGGGTTGAGCTTGAATGAAATTTTAGTATCCCTTAGTAAAGTAAAAAAATTTCCACAGCATAAATGTAAAAAAAAAACCAAAGGGAACACAGACTACTTTTCCATCGAAAGAGTGCATTGGAGCAGCAGATATTGAATGAAGTTTTGCTATCTGGAATGCCATATCTTATTGCCTTATTGTGCCTACCTAAGTATGAGACTTTTATTTAAAAATACAGAGAAACAAGGTGTATAGGAGAAATAGACATCTATCAGATTATGATACCTGGATTTAAGCTTAAGCTTATTTTAAATAACTGAGCCTTAAGCTTATTTTAAATAACTGAGTTTTTAGGAAAAAAGGTATATTAAAATCATGTTTTTATTTACTTTATGAGGTTTTGAAATGACAGATAGCTTAATAACTTTAAGTGAAATCAAAATAATTTGGCCTGCTTTAATGTGGGAGACCAGTCATAAGGAAAGTGATATTCTACCATAGCTTAGTAGGAATAGACAGTGAATAAAGCTCCTATTTTATGTCTAAAGCTTTTGTTATTTTGAGGTTTAATTTATTTAGTAGTCTAATAAAATTCCTAACATACGCATTAAACAATTCTTCTCAAATGTTTCCAGGGACGTACCTGTAAGGTAAAGGAGTATGGACTTGATTGTCTCAGAAGATAAGTCATAAAAAGTATTGTTTAAAGTGTTGTGTTGTGACCTCAATTTGTTTTCTAAATCTTCTGAAGGCTATTTTAAAAGCAACCAAAAAACATAAAATTTCCCATTTAAGCTCCTTCCAAGAGTGCAAAGAAATTTTGATAGGGCAGGTCAACATCCTCTGCTCCCACCGGCTTTACGTATGCAGAACACTTTATTATTATATGTCTGAGATATTTTTATCTCAGTTTGAGAATGGCCAGGAATATTTTTTCCCTGATACTTGTGTTTTTCAGAGTTCTAAATGTTTATCCTTTACACTGGTTTTTAAAAAAATTTTAATTAAAGAAAGAACATTGTGGGTAGAGATTCTCATAGCGTATAGTACACATTTTACTGCCTTCTCAAAAATAATGCCCTGAACTTAATGTATGCATGTATTTATTACCCAAGAATTATCGATATGAAGGCCATTTTACATATTCCAATATATTTCCATGTCTTTTATTTCACAATTTTGTGAAAAATAATATCTGTAATTTAATATGGCATTCAAGATTCAACTTTTTCCTAGGACTTGTTCTCTTTTTAGACATGAGAACTAAAATAGCCCATTATCCCTTTATGTCTTCACTTTATGTTCTCATCTAAATTTAGGGTGTGGATACAGTATCTTTGATTATTAAGACAATTTCATTCTCCTCCTTAGTGGTTTCTCCTTGAATCCTTATTTTCACTTGATTGTATGATTTACCCTTATACATGACCTCGTAAAATGGTATAATTATATGTTATAATTATACCTGATTATAGCTTTTTAAAATCAACTTTGAGGTATAATTTATATACAATAAGAGCAGCTGTTTTAATGGTACTCTTTGAGGAGATTTGACAAATGTACACCCATTTAACCAACAGCATGGTCAGTATTTCAGCCACCTCAAAAGGGTCCTTTATAATCTTTGTCAGTCAGTCTTGTTATACCCCCAGCCCCAGGCAACCACTGATCTGCTTTATGTCACTATAGTTTAGTTTTGCTTTTTCTAGACCTTCCGTTGAATGGTATCATAGACTATATACTCCTTTTGATCTGGCCTCTTTTACACAGTATAATGTTATTGAGATTCATCTATGTTGGTGCCAACATCAGTAAGTCTGTCCTTTTTATTGCTGAATTTCCATTATAAGGGCACAACACTATTTGTATATCTATTTATACATTTAGGTCATTCCCACTTTTTGACTGTTATTAGTAAAGCTGCTATTTTCCCAAGTGATTGTACCATTTTATATTCCTAATAGCAATTAGAGTTCCAGTTGCTTCACATCCTCACCAGCATTTACAATTGTCTTTTCAAATGTCTTTTTAAATTTTAGCCGTTTTAGTGGTTTGTAGTGGAATCTCATTTTGGTTTTATTTTGCATTTGTATGGTTGCAAAGTTATGTTTTGCTGAAAACTGTTCCAACTTTTCATGTTCTTATTGGCCATTCATATATCTTTTTGTGAAGTATCTGATTTTTCCCATTTTGAGTTCTTTGTTTTATTATTGGATTATAAAGATTATTTATATATTCCTGATACAAATCTTTTGTCTCATATATGTATTCTGAATATATAGTCACTCAGCATGTGACTTTTCATTCTATTTTCTTAATGATATCTTGAGAGAAGCAGAAGTTTTTAATTTTGATAAAAAATCCTCATTACCCAGCTTCAACAACATCTAGCCAATCCTGTTTCACTTATTCCTCTCACCATTGTATTATTAAAGCAAACCCTAATATTATATTATTACTTTAAATACTTTAATATGTATCTTAGACTTTAAAAAAAAACAAGCCATTCTCATACTTTAAAAAAAAATCAAAAACAGGAAAGATAAAAAGGGGATTTCAGTTATTTGATTTTTGTAAATTTGTTAATACCTAATTTGTTTAACCAGGATACAAACAAGTTCATGTTGTACATTTGACTGATGCATTGCTCTTATTGGAAAGGAAGAGTTTTCCTTCTATCCTTCGAGGTTCTTTGGCTGGTCTAATAACCTCAGGTTTAAATACCACCCCCCAATACTTTCTGTTGCAGCTTATGAAAAGAAGCACATCATGTTTGATTGTCTTTCTTTGTGATCTTAAGATTGATTATGTGGTTTAGTTATTATCAGCCTAATCCAGCATAATAAAATTCCCTATCATTTATTTTCCCAATGGGCTTAGCAGCCAGCTTGATTGTATACCTCAATTTAAGCTTAGTTATACTGCAGTAACAAAAACCCTAAAGTCACGGCAGCTCTCAACAACAAAGTTTATGACTGCTTTACTCCATGTCACCTGAGGCTTAGCTTTGCTTTGCTCCCTACCATCTTCAGTTGGCTCCATGTTGCTTTTACCCCGGGACGCAGGCTGATGGAACCTAGTACACTGCGGGTCTGCTGGCAGAGGTCCTAGTTTTTCCATTGTACACTGTATTACTTTTCTTCCCCTTTCCTCTCACTGCAGCCACTACTCAGTGATGAATTTGACAAACAGAAGGACAGAGAAATATATTAAAATACCATCTTCAGCACTGGCTGTGAGTGAGGCTCTGGGTGGCTCTTCTATGAATCACGTGTGTTCACTTTCAGGAAATCTGTTGAACAAAACATATATTATGTCGGCTATACAAAAGTATAGAGAAAATCATAAACATCTGTGTAGCAGTCACCCACTGAGCCACATCTTAGCATTTTACCATATTTGCTTCAGGTTTTGGGGAAAAGAAATAGGTATATATAATCTGGACATCCCCTGGGTCCCCTCCTTCCTGATCAGATGAAGAAGAGGGTAACCATCATTCTTACTTTGTTAGCATTAGTAAGCTTTTATTTATTTATTTTTGCTCTACAGGTATGTACATTTAACTGTTATTTTTCATGTCTTTAATGTTAATGATTTCACACTATAAATGTAATTGTATAATTTTCCCTTGCCATTATATTTTTCATATTTATGCACATTGATATGTGCATCTCTAGTTCATTCATTTGCTCTAAGAATGCACAATTATTTAACTGTGCCTGTGATAGATATTTTAGTGGCTTACACTTTTTTGCTGATATTATGAAAACTGTGGTGAAAGTTTTTGTATGCCTCTTACTCATACATTTGTGACTTTCAAGATATATATGCGTGCACACACACACAACCTAGAAATAGTTTTTGAGTGGTAGAGCATGCCCATGTTTAACTTTACTAAATACTGCCACGTTGCTTTCTAATGTTGTTTTACCAATTTACATTCTCACCAGTAATATCATTGTTCCCCGTCACTCTCTTTGTCAACACTTTATTATTGACATAAATTTAGTCATTCTAATAGATTTGAATTGATCACATTATTTGCAGTTCCCTGATTATTTAATTCATTTATTGGGTATTTTAATTTTCTCTCCTGTGAATTTCTTGTCCACAATTTTTTCCTGTCTATCTCTTTCTATGTAGGTAATGCATTCTGGAAACTAACTCTTTGAAGATTATATAGTTTGCAAATGGTTATTCTGTCTGTGCCTTCTCTTTTGTACCTTGTTTATTAATCTTTTGTTTTACGGAATAATGAACTCAAATTATCAATCCTTTCTTTTAGGATTGATACTTTTGGGATCTTGTTTAAAAACTATAGTGTTTTGGGGGGGTGGTTTTTGTCCCCTGATCAAGAAATTTTTCTCTACTTTGCAGTGATAAAGATTTTATACTTTCTTTAGAAATGATAAAGCTTTGCCTTTTTACATTTATGTTTTTAATCCAACCTGAAATTTATTTTGTTTATAATATTAATGAGGGAACTAATTTCATTTTTTTCTATACAGATAATCAGTTGTTTCAGCACTTTCAGTGCACAAGCCATTCCTGTCCCCAGTGGTTTGTAAAGATATCTCTGTCATATATCAAGTTTCTGTACATGTTGGGAGTGTCTGTTTTACATTGTTGCTTTTGTTTTTGTTTCAATACTATTAATATCTGGTGAGTCCTTTCAACCCTGCTTCTTGAGGAATCAGATTCCTCTGGGCTGCTATTCGGCATGTCTCTTCCATGTGCATTTTAAAATCGTCTTGTCAAGTTCCACATACTCAAAGAAATCTTGTTGGAATTTTTATTAGAATTAGACTGAGTTTGTAGATAGATTTTGAAAGAAGTGTCACAGATTTATCTGTTGAGTTCTCCCAGATTGGGCCATGATAGAATTCTCCATCTGTTGTTAGGTTTTCTAAGTTCTATATTTTTCCCAGTAATGTCTTGTACTTTTTCAATTAGGCGTATTCCTAGGAAACATACACTAATTTTTATTGTGAATAGTATTTTTTAAAAATTACATATTCCGGGGCTTCCCTGGTGGTGCAGTGGTTGAGAGTCCTGCCGATGCAGGGGACATGGGTTCGTGCCCCAGTCCGGGAGGATCCCACGTGCTGCGGAGGGGCTGGACCCGTGACCCATGGCCGCTGAGCCTGCGCGTCCGGATCCTGTGCTCCGCAACGGGAGAGGCCACAGCAGTGGGAGGCCCACGTACCGCAAAAAAAAAATAAATAAATAAATAAAAAACATATTCCAATTGTTTGCTGATTGGTGTACAGTTGATTTTGCTGATTGCAGACTTGCTAAATTCTTTTCCTTCTGATATTATAGAGTCTCCTGCCCATTACTATGTAGTTAAGTATATTTTCTATAAATAATGAACACATTGCTTTTTCCTCCCAGTCTTTGTACCTTTTATTTTTCTTGAATTACTGCCTTAGCTAGGTCCTTCAGTACAGTGCTAAATAAAACTTGTGATAGGAATGATCCTGACTTAAAAAAAATTGCTTTTAGAGTTTTGCATCATTTTTTTCCATAAGTTTGGATACATAACCATTACCTGATAACAAAACCTTTATCTAGGCAAGGAATTTTTCTTTTATTCTTACTGTTTCATAAAGATTTTTTATACTGAATGAGTGTTGAAATTTGTTGAATTCTTTCTGTTAATATTTTTCTTATTTAATTTCATAATTTGGTTAAAGACATTAATATATTTTCTAATGCATTAATTTCTATATGCCTTTTTGAGTTAAACTCAGTTTGTTCAGGATATTATATTTAAAGTGTATATATAATTTATTAACTATTTTTACATACTTTAAATAAGTGAGGATATCCTATAATTTCTCTCCTTTTACTGTTCTATGCATCAAGAGTATATATTAGTTTTGTGAAATGAGTTGAAAAACATTCTCTTATATTCACTGGAGCAGTTTGTTAAAGATTCAGTATATATTTAACCATGAGTTCATTTTCTTAAACGGTCATAAAGTATTGGGGTTTCTATTTATTTAAGTCAGTTTTGTGTTTCAAGAAAATTTTCCCTTTTGTCTGTCTGTTTATTTATTTATTTATAGTATAAAATTGATTGTTGCATCTCTACTTAGATCTATATTAATGATCCTGTTTTTAAAAATTCAAATTATTAATTTTTTACTATGGACATGATTTTAAACTTTAATAAGTAAATATTTGTTGAATGAAATTAAGTCTTTGTACATGTGTATCTATATTTGGAAAATTTACTGAAAACTTAAAGGATTTCCTTTTTTTACCCTGTCTTCTGTCTTGTTTTAAGAATAATTAATAATTGAGAACCCCTTTTAGTGTGAAGAAGAGAGAGGTATATATTAAATTTATATTTTTGTCACTCATTCCCTTCACCCACTACCCACAAACATGGAATCTGTTATGAGGACAGGTGATCATCCACATACCCACCTGCTTAATCTTTCTAAGCAAAGTATCTCTACCAGCTTCTGCAGCTGATAAAATTCTAGGAGTTATATGACTCTCATTATAAACTTATATTTCAGGTGCTTGACATGTGGTCTCATAGCTTATAAAAATTTCCAATGTTATGATTTCATATTTACAGCTGAATCTGTATGTATTTTGCAAAACAAAGTTGAGAAAGATTTTTTAAAAATAGCATCCAAGAGTTACTCTGTAATGGTATAAGTCCATTTTGCTAAAAAGAGAGTGGGTGAATTCATTATACTCGTGTGTGTGTGTGTGTGTGCGCGCGCACACGCATGGCACATACAACACTTACACACATGTTTGTCTAAGTATAGAAATAGCTATTCAAGGGTATATGCCATCAGAGAGGGTGAAATTCAGAGGAAAATGTATGGACTGTATTTATTGAATTATGTGTTACTTTTTAAAATTCAAATACTGAAATGAAAAATTTTCATCCAGTTCCTCTCATTTCATCAATAAGTGGCACATTCTAATTACTAATATGAAATAGTTTTCTTTAGTGGAAACAATGATACTTTTTCATTCTTTTAAATAATCATATGCTGATATAAAGTATTGCAGTCTTTATTGGAGTTACAGTAGACAGCATTTATGTTGAAGATGTTACTATTGTATTTTTTAAACAAAGTTAAACAACATTGGTCTTGTTGATCACATAAATGTTCTTAATGTTTATGCATTGTCTTGTTTTTCTTACATGTTTTCCAGTGTTGCTACTTCATTTGAATTTTTGAACTTTGGATTATACTGTAGTGGTTGGCAAACTTTTTCTATAAAAGTCCAAGTAGTACACATTTTAAACTTTGCAGGCTATGTGGTCTAAGCTGCAAATACTTAACAGCCATAGACACTATGTTCATGGGTAATCATGGCTGTGTCCCAGTAAAACTTAATTTACCCAAACAAGTGGCAGGCCAGATTTGGCCCACAGGTCCTATTTTGCCCAACTTTAATATGTAAAAATTGATCATTGCTAGTGAGAATTAATGGGAAGTTTGAACATAATGCCAGACATTTTCTCTTGAATAATGCTATGCTGAGCTCCCTACTTTTAGAAACCAGAGAAAACCTATTACTGCAAAGTTGATCTATGTAATCTTATGTATTAAAATGTGTTATATACATAGAACTAGATGTCTACATGCAATAAAGGCTTCACATTTATAGTTCGTATTTTGTTTTACCATTACCAAGTGATGGTCGTTGAAAATTACTTAACATAGAGTCAAAAATCATTTTGAAATATTTTTGTTTAACTTAATGATTTAAATGAAACTTTGATGGTCGTGTACTATAAATCCGACACTCATATTCGTAGGCTAAAAGACTGGAATTAGTTGACAAAAGATATAAAACTATGAAGAAAATGTTAAAATGCTTACACCAAAATTTTTAGAGTAGTAAAGTTTAAGACCTCTTAGAATAAGTTGTTTGTTCATGATTTTGTTGGACTTGAACACTAAAATTTTTTACGTAGAAAAAAAGGAAAACAGTGGTTTCTTTGCAATTATCATTTGCCTCTTTGTAGTTGAATTTAGAGAATACCCCATTTTTCCCCCTCCTTTATCTTCTGCCTTATCCAGTTCTGGAAGTTGCAGTGCTCAGTACAGAAGGACAGGTCCAAGACTTCAAATTTCCTCTGGGCATCAAAGGGGCAGGCAGCTCAATCCAACTCTCTGCGAATACCGTCAAACAGAACAGCAGGAATGGTAAGATGGAACAAAGTCTTTTAAAAATTGATAGGGTTTTTGTTCAGTTAAACCTATTAATTCTAAAATACTGAGTGTTTGACTCCTAATATAACAATTACAGCTTAGCATTTATAAGCAGATTTAAAGTAATGCCTTCTCTTTCCCAGTAAACTTAATCTGAATAAAGATTCCATAAGGATTTGTTTCATTTTATTCTTATTTTATTGTATCTCATCTTATTCAGAAGCATATTTTCTGTAAAGACATATGACTTTTTACCTTCCTAGGTCTTGCAAAGTTGGTGTTCATCATTTACCGGAGTCTGGGACAGTTCCTTAGTACAGAAAATGCAACCATAAAACTGGGTGCTGACTTTATTGGTCGAAATAGCACCATTGCAGTGAATTCCCATGTCATTTCAGTTTCAATCAATAAAGAATCCAGCCGAGTATACTTGACAGATCCTGTGCTTTTTACCCTACCACACATTGATGTAAGTTATGTATGCTAATGAAGTAGTGGAAAATTATAAAACCAGTGAGGAAGGAAAGCAAAACTAACATGCTAGAGATAGAGAGAGTGGGAATGGGGAAGTGGCAGAGAGGAAAGAAAAGGCCTTCCCATTTGAATTTCAAATGTTGGACTAGGTCAGAGACACAAGTTTATTTAAGTCTGTGAACATAAAATTAAATGAGCCTGGTTCAATGATTATTAGAATTTAAGTGTATTCTTAATGAAAGCTAATTCAGTAATCAACAGGAAAATGTAAATGACTATAATTTGTTTTAGAATGAAAATTAACTGTTACCCTAGCAGCACGATAGCTCTGCCTTTTTAGTATGACAGGTCTTTTTGGTTTGTTTGTTTGTTTACAGATCATATAAACACAATTGTTATCAAGCCCTGTGTTTTTAAAAATATAGAGTCGAAGAGATGCGATTCCTCTGCTGTGCCTTAGAATGCAAGTTGGTAGCTAAAAACACTGTGTTGGAAGATTGTCTGCAGAATTTGGCTGTTGTTATAGTAGAGAGAAAAAGTGCCCATAGATAGCCACGTGAATCTCCAGAATTCATTAGTGAACAATACATTTGTGTGGCTATTCTCTTCTTATATCTTCTGCAGTTGCTTCACTCTCTTAAGAGCTTGACATACTAACTACAGGATTCAAATTGTCCCTATTGGGTCATTTAGAGCAAAAATGGGCCCCAAACAAAATAGATTTTAAAACACTTGGTCCTTACAGAATTTTCTCAGAACAAATTCATGGCTTTAATTTTGTCAGAAAAGAAAAAAAAATGATTCTGATGGACCATCAGTATGTAAAATCATAAGATGGAAATTGTAATTGTGTAAAATGGGTCTTTGGTAATTTAGAGTACACTTTAGAGTGTTTTGGACTATAAAGCCCCTTTTAAGTTAGATATCTGCCTTGTATAACATAGTCTACAGTTCTGCTGATGAAAAACTTTGTAGTCCGAAACATGAAAAGTTTAATCTAAATTACCTTTTACACATATTAAACAATGGCTATTGCCATCTTAGAGTGTAAAATCCTAATTTTATCTTGTCATTTTATTTCCCAGCCTGACAATTATTTCAATGCAAACTGCTCCTTCTGGAACTACTCAGAGAGAACTATGATGGGATATTGGTCTACCCAGGGCTGCAAGCTGGTTGACACTAATAAAACTCGTACAACGTGTGCGTGCAGCCACCTAACCAATTTTGCAATTCTCATGGCCCACAGGAAAATTTCAGTAAGTATTTGCACTTCTAATTAGTAGCAGAGAAAAACCTCAGAGATTCAAAACAGCTTGTGTAGTAGTCCCTTCTTTGGGTGTTTATCGTAACTAAAAAGCAAACAAAGTAATGTGGATTTCTAATTGCTTTTACATTGTCCATATATTTTAGGAAGTCTTGGCACTATATTTATTGCTACATCTCAAAATCATGTGCTTTATAGACTCGTTCTAAGTTTTTCCCTTTGGGCAGGTGTCAGGCAGAGGCTGTCAGGGATTTAAAAAATGAACAGCAATAGGTTATGCGAAAGAGACAGAAGGCTCTAAAGTTTAACATGCCCTCACCATCTTGAATGTTTGAATCTCATTTCAAAACTTTTGTTTTAAATTTCCTAACGACTTTGCACACTGTGCCAGACTGCAGATTTTGAAAGATCAGAATGGCTTCCGGAATATTTCTTAGTATTCATTTCTTCTTGTGATTAAGAGAACATAAGCCAGGAGATAAAACTATTTAAGAACTATAACATGAAAGCTCTCAGATCTATTATGTGCTTAACTTTTAGTATATATATATATATATAATATAAAAACTCAAGGAGAAACTTAAAATTTGACTACTTGTTAGCCTGGCAAGTCATTAAAATGCCAATTATTTTGAAATAACTAAGTAGTCTTTAATCTGTTGTAAAATGTTTTCTGTATGTTTATGTAAGTAATTATTGTGGTCATAATTTTCTAGGTAAAATCTACTTTCATAGATCATTCTTTGAATATAAAAATCAATAAGATAATATTGAACTCTGTTATATGATCGTAATTTTTTTTTTTTTAGTATTGAGCCCTGTTTGAACACACATGAATATTCAGAGAGTTTAGTATTAAAAGTTGAGCTATCACATGTGAAACCTATCTTACCCTTAGTTAATGTAATGCAGGAATACTAAAGTTCCTCATTTTTTTAATTTTCAGTACAAAGATGGAGTTCACGAATTACTTCTTACAGTCATCACCTGGGTGGGAATTGTCATTTCCCTTGTTTGTCTGGCTATCTGCATCTTCACCTTCTGCTTTTTCCGTGGTCTACAGAGTGACCGTAATACAATTCACAAGAACCTTTGTATCAACCTTTTCATTGCTGAATTTATTTTCCTAATAGGCATTGATAAGACAAAATACATGGTAAGTACTCCTTCTGTTTGTTGACCTTGGATCTCTGAGAATTATTATTATAACAGGTGTATCCACATATGCTGCTGTTAATATTTGACCTTGTAACTTACAATAATTGACATGGCAATACTGAAGGATAATTTGTAATAAAACACAACCCAATCATTAAGTAATATTATTATGAGTTAATTCATTTCTTGTATTAAGGTACAGTTGCATTTTTCTGGGTTGTTATTAAAACACGTAATTTGAATAGAAGAATGCTGGGTATGCTAAAATGAAAAGATCCGATTTTTAAATTTTTCATTTTGTTTACATAGTCATTCTAACCAGTGATCATTTCCTCATATTCTGAGCAATTTATTCACCATCATGAGGTCTCAGTGTCACAAAGAGAACTTAATAATTAGTTAATGCTTTACTCTGTATTCATCTGCACTGGGATGAATTTGAGAATGTTCCATGTATAACAAGAAAATGATGTTAAGTAATTAGAGCTGGGATATTTATCATTAAAGCAAATTTTAAAAAATTCTGTAGTAGAAAAAAATAGAAATAATATATTTGGAAACAACTGTTCTAAAGATTTGTAAAGCAACTTATCTACAAGTAGAATATTCAGATATAAAAATGAATAGTTCTGGAAGAGAAATTAATATGTTTTCTTATTTGCACTTACTTTTGCTTTAAATAATAATGTCTTACAATGATGATATTTCTAGTACACCTAGCATTACACTCCATAAGCATTAAGCCAAATTTGGCAGTATTTTCATTTATGGAAAAAAAAATTTTTAAGAAGCAGTATTTTCTCTAAATACTGGTATATCTTAAAGACAGTAGTGAGTACTATTGGCGAATATTGTTTAGTTTTTAGAGTGGGCTGTTTATATTCCCGTATTCTCTTGTGTTTTTTGCTTCTTTCCTTTATAGATAGCATGCCCAATATTTGCAGGACTTCTACACTTTTTCTTTCTGGCTGCTTTTGCTTGGATGTGCCTAGAAGGTGTGCAGCTCTATCTGATGTTAGTTGAAGTTTTTGAAAGTGAATATTCAAGGAAGAAATATTACTATGTTGCCGGTTACTTGTTTCCTGCCACAGTGGTTGGTGTTTCAGCTGCTATTGACTATAAGAGCTATGGAACAGAAAAAGCGTAAGTAATTGCAAGTGACCTGAGTGTTTTTCAAGTGAATAACTTTTTAAAGCCTGTTAGCTGTCAGTGAGGGTCCCTGACAGACTAAAATAGCATCTGAAAGCCTTATTGGTAAGAAAATGGGCATGCCATGCACAAGTTACAATCAAATCTTTTGTAATTTTCTAGGTTGAGAGGATTTGTACTCTGGCAAGGCATATTCTAAATTATGGACTTCTTTTTAACACAAAAGATTGACCTCTAACAAATTGAAAAAGTAAATAACTTTTTGGCCTTAGAAAGATAGTAGTAAAAATTTTTCTGAACTTAAAGCATCTGACAGGTTTAACTATTCAGTTTTTAAGCTAATGTTTCATTAGCTCTCTTTGTGCAGCCGACCCTCTAGGTAACTCTCGTTCTGAGTTGTGACAGTACCACATTCCAGCCCATATGTTTTACTTTGATAATATTTTATCAGGCAGTTTGAAAGGATTAAAATAAGTCACTGTCATTCATTTATAAAAAAATATTTTTATGGAAAGTGACAGAAGGTAGACCATGTTTCTAAGGATTTTATTTGCTAGAGGCATGAATTTGCTTTCCAATTCTGTTTATTTTTTCCTTTGATAAAATTAGTTATATAAAGATTCTTTGGACTAAAGAAAGCTTTTTGACTACACAGATGATGAAAGACAAATAAAAGAAATTCATTGAGGATTTGATGTTATATGAAAAATGAACCACTAAGTATAATCTGTCTTAATAAGTTTATGCATCATTTACTCTAATACAGTATGAATTCTATGCTTTGATTTTTTTTTTTCTAGTATTCATCCATTCCCAGTTGAGGTGTTATATTTGTGCTATACTGTTTTGCAACAAACATTACATCTGACCACTTATTTTTTTAATCTCTTATGTTCCATAGGGTTAAACATTTTAGCTCAGATACAGATCTAAAGGCAAATTTTGAAGATAAGAACTTTTTAAAAATGAGACAATTTGGAATACCAAGTTTCGCGTATTTCTTAGTAAAGTCAGAGGTCTTACATCAGGATTGGGGTGGAGGGGAGTTATTGTTTTCCCCATATAAGCATAATTATGCATGTCTTTATCAAATTTAAAACCTAAAGTGAAGAACAGTAGAATTATTCAAATTGTTCTTGCCCATGATAAATTAATTTTTAAAGGTAAGTGTAAAGATACTTTTGCTTGTTAGATTTTTAAAATTTTGCTTTACTTGTGATATTGAGCATCCATTGAAGCTAATTAATATTCTTTTCTTTTCATAATAGTTGCTGGCTTCATGTTGATAACTATTTCATATGGAGTTTCATTGGACCTGTTACCTTCATTATTCTGGTAAGCAGACTCTATTTTTCCTTCATTTTTAGCTTGCTGCTTTATCAGTACAATTGAAACAGGGATAATTTGTTTTACTGTTAATTTATCTGTGCATTCAAAGATTTATAAGCATGTCTAGCTTACAGAATAAAATTATGTAGTATATTTTACATTCGATATCGTTATTGAGAGTTTATACACTTGCTAATTAGTACTATTTTTAAAAACACTCTTTCCTTTAAGAAATACTTTTCCCTCATTTGTAATTTAATTTGCAAAAATGTCAGGTCTTAATCTTTATGTTAAGATTGTATGATTTTAAAGTAGTTTGATAATTAGAAAGGAATAACTGATATGTATAGTATATTTTGGTTTTGAGTAGTGGAATTTTTTGTTAAGAGGTTTAGTTCACAAAGTTACATCTTTAAAATCTATAGTATTAGCTCTGCACCAAGCCTGTGTAGCATTTATGAATTGAATGTTTTATGGAAGTAAAAGAACATTAGCTTAATATTTATTATCTTCATTTCCACATAGTAATTTAGTACTTTTAAATAAATGTCCACACCCTAAATTCTTTTTAGGGCATAAAAAAGGTTTTCTTAAGCTTAGCGTAATAAATAAATATTAAATAAATTTTAAACTCATTAGAAATAAAATTACTTTCCTAAGACTTAAAATACCAAATAAAAATATTGGTTTCTAAGAAATTTTATTTTAAAATAAACCTGATACAACTTAAGTATAATGACATTAAGATATTTTTTAACTTAAATTATCAGTAGTCAAATATTTCAAATATAGTTGAAATTTTTTAAAAAAGCTAAAATATTTGGATTTAAAACTTCACTCGGTTTTAGCATCATGCTGTTACAAATAGGTGTTATTGACCATTAGAAGATTGAAAATGAAACAAGTTTATATATTGCCTATAACTGTTTATTCCTATTAAGGTTTTTTCTTTTAAAAAGGTGACACAAGTAAGCTTATTAAGATATTTCTACTGTTAATAGTATTACAATTATAGTTACTTGTACGTCAGTAAAATTAAGAAAAAAATTTAGTAGTTCAAGGAAACTTAAAACTACTTTTGTCACTAAAATGAATTCTTTTATACAATTACTTATGAAAGCAAAATGAAAATTTGAGATGAATGCCTGTATGAATCGAACCAGTAAAAAACACTCTCAAGTGTTCTTAGGAAAGCTGATTTCTCATCAGAATTATTCAATCCAGATGATTGTCCCAATTTTTTGTTCTTTGCTTACTTATGCTAACACAGCCTAAGCCTATCTTGAATTAAATGACAAACAGCTGATATGAAAGGGGTATGATCCTTAAAAACTCAAGCTTTTTTTTTCTCCCTGACCCCTTGGCCGAACATACTGATACTTTGAAAATTGTAAAAATCATTTTAGGGATATTTGATCTATACTTCTACTGTAGTTTTGTTTATTTTCTATCTCTGAAGATAAATACTGTCTTTAGAGTATTAAAAAACATTTCACTGAGCGAAAGGAGTTAATGTTCATATATACTCAGCTTCCAGTAAGAAAAGAGGTAAAGGACATTTTATTATATTGCCCTTTTATAGTGAGAGCCTACCATTATTTTTTAGTCTTGTCATTATTATCCTTTACCAAGCCATTTACGTTGAGATGTGAAGGGCTTTGGTGTTCCCAACTTAAAAACAAAACAAAACAAAACAGCAGGTAGCAATCACAGTACAGATCCTGGGAGTAATTCTTCTCCTGCAATTGCTTTGCCCTCTAATCGTCCCAACACAGAAAGACAGAGTGGTATTGAAGTGTAAAACATCATCTCAAATGTAACCTAAAGTGAGATATGTGATTGTACAGCACATGTTTGTTGAGTATTAATATATTTACCTGTATATATCCTTATGGTGATATAGGTCATTTAAAAGTCAGTTCAGACACAGTTTAAAAATTTATACAATATAAATTATATTGTATACTGTCCTTTTAAGGAATAACAAAAAGTACCTATTGATATTCCTAGAAAGCATAGTTTTGCATTTCCAGCTTTTCTGAATTGAAATCACATAACTTAGTAGTATTAAATAAGTGTACATTTTTAATAATTTTCAATGAAGGAAAAAAGCATGTTATAGAACATAAAACTTCCTACTTCTGTATTTCTATAGAATGTCTTGCCTACAGGCACTAGAGTTATTATATCTATGAGAAAAGTGCTTGTAAGTAATGAGCAGTGGGAAACCATTAGTATGCCTGAAATGGTTTAATGAAAGCTTGGATCATGACACGTCAGGAGCTGTTCTTATCATTTGGACAGCTCCATCTGCATCGTTAATAATTAATTCAGTTCAGTAAGAGTTCAGCTCACACACTCACTTAGAAGTCTTCCTCAGAGAACACCTCTCTGGCTGCTAGTCCCAGGGAGAAATAGGTTTCTGCTTGGCTAACAGCAAAGATCTGGAGATACAAGTGCAGTTTTAGAGTTGCATTTGCCAGGTAGCAAAAGCTCTAGGGAGGACAAAAAGGGTCAGAACATGTGCAGTTCAGTTAGGTTACTTCAGAGTGGTGTTTCTGTTCTTGTGTCTTATCATATCCATGTCAGGACGGCAAGCTTTGGAATGAATTTTAAGCTCCTAAGCTCAAATGGATATGATTCAATTGAGCAGGTCGATAACTATAAAACAAACTGTGCACTCCTATAATCTATGGTACTTTTTTCTTTCTTTAAACTCTTTGTATTTTCATGTTCATCAATATGGGTGAGGATTAGCTAAGCCGTATCATCAAGTAGTGATGAATTTTATCAGCAAATTACATGACAGATTATTTAAACAGTAATTTATGAAATTATTTTTGGGGATAGATAGAAGAGTATTATTTGTTATTGAAAGAGAAAGAATGCCCCATTTAGTGATTTAACTCTTTTTAGCTGAATAGGAGAATTCTTTTCTTTTTAATTTGGTCTCACTCTTTCACATAGAATTCTATTAAGAGGTACCCATCTACCTATTTACCTGTACACACACACACACACAGAGCAGAGTTAAAATCTGATTAATTCCTGGATGAGTTGCCTCATCTTCAAACTTAATCTTCAGTGTGGGCATTTAGACTGGTGAGTTGACATACAACATGTAACACAATCCTGTTAACTTGTACTTACTAGAGGCTTCTACACGAATGATTAATGACATGTATACCAGCTGTAGACAAGCTTTATGTACATAGCTGTAACTCCATCTTTTTCATTTCTCATTGATGCATAGCACCTTTCAACCTATCCCAAAATACTCTGTTTAACAGAAGTATATGGCTAGAAAGACCCATTTATGTCATAGGGAAAAGGTTAAGAAGAAAGAACTCAGTACGTCATTTGAAACTAAGGTTTTCAGTCTTCAAGTGACTATTTTGGACAATAGGTTTTATCAAAGATTTTTTCTGCCCCCTCTATTTCTTGTTCTGATTCCCATAGTTACATTTTAAGAGAACAAGAGTAGAAGAGAAAAGAAGAAAATCTATTGAAATGTTTTATTATACAAAATTATAACTCTTATTAGAGTATATTGCCTCCTGAAAAAGATCATAGGAACAGTATTTATCCATGAAACTAAAAATTAGCATTTACATTTTTAGACACTGGAGAAAATCAGAGAACTTTAAAACCACAGTTTAAAGAACTTGTTAACACTTCAGTAAGTGTTCTATTTAATTCCAGAAAATATTTCACTCACATATATTTTGCTGGCAATGTATTAAAATGTTCAGTACCTAAATAATAGACATTTTTTTGGTAAATAATTTGTATTAGTAAAATTTTTTAACGTGGAGTTGAGGAAAAGAAAAATATCTCACGCTTAGCAGTTTTTGCTCTTACGCTGTGATTCACAATAAGTCTTGCATACCTTTTTTCGTAATTACTTTGTCTGACAATGATGTTATTTTCTCCTATTAAAGATACCATTGCCTCAGTAATTATATATCGTCGTTGTATTTCAAAGACTAAGTTAGTGTTGGATTTAACTAAATTTCTTGGCAACTTAACCATTAGTGCGTTGGCTAAAATTTTATTTTCAGTTTCTGTAAATTGGAGAATTCACAGACACTTGTGAAACAGTCTGACTGCAAGAGTCCTTCTGTGGTTTTATGATTATTTTTCTAGGATTTTAAGTTGTTTTTAAAGAGACTCACTTTTAAAACATCTTCTTGAAACATTTGATTTTAAATATGCTAGAAACAATAGCTTTCTTTCCCCACTCGGGTTTTATGGGTTTATGTGATATTTAGCTGTGTATGAATATAACTAGCACGGACAGGATTAAGAAAACACAAATAACTGTTCAAAGTACAATTTGGCTAGTGGGAATAGAAGTGTGTGGACGTTTTAGCTATTTGCTGATTATGGGATGGTAGTGTTTCACAAAGGAAATGGAGAATTGGTTGTTATGGCAAGCCCATCAAGTGGAAATCATTTGAAGAGCACACCTTTGTATGTCATTTAGAATTTCTTTGATAGTGTGTTCTATGTATTAATTAATTTAATATTATATCTTCAACTCATTGGTCATCTCTGACTGAGTGGTAAATTAGATTACTCTTTATAGAAGTGGAACCTTTTTTAAAAAAATACAAAACTAGTATATCTTTTGTTTGTTAGAAGACTGCTAATTTTCTCAACCAGAATAAACTGGTTAATTTTGTTGACAAGACTGGGCCATGGAGCCAGAAGACAGTATATTGAATCTCAGCATTGACATTACAGTAGCTAAGTAGTCTTTGGCAAGATAATTAACATCATAGATTTGTAAAATGGTTATCCAAGTGCTACCTACTACCTCTGGAGATAGGATTATATGTTGTGGGTGGGGTATTTTTTTTTCCTGTAATTTTCTGAGCTTTATATCTTGTGACTGTATTATCTTTGTAGCTAGGAAGAAACACTGAACACATATATAACATTAAAAACTTCAGTAGGGTGAGGAGAGATGCATCTAACAGTCTGTTTTTTAAGGATTAAATGAAATATGTTTTCTGTGGCATTTTCAAGTTGGTTAGTTCTGTCTTAACAAGAAACAAATGTCTTTGTATCATATTTAAGCTTTAATTCTATTTTTACATAGGTACACTTCATTTTCATTTCAATTTTATTGGAAAATAAGCTAGTTCTTAAATAACTGATTTTTTTGTGTGGGGGCTGGTTTTTCTTCATTGAAAAATCTGTTTGGATGGATGTAACCCCCACAAGTTCACATTTTGTACTCATTTTCTTTTTATAGCATAATAATTGATACATCCACATTTTTTTCACATTCACATTCTTTATTTTCCTTGTGGTTTAGACATTGTGGTGGGTAATAACTTTTTTTCTTTTCTTGAATGTACTCCTACCACTACTATTATTTTATTCCTGAGGGGATAAGTAATATGCTTAGAAAATAATGAGCTCCAAATTGTGGCCCTTTTGTGCTTCAGAAAATTACTTAACAAAAGGTGTTGGGGTAGAGGGCAACCCTAGGTCTGGAAGTTTGTAATAAAATAAATAAACAGTTTTATCAGGATATTCAAAAAGAAGGGTTAGGAGGTTTAAAAGATTTTGATTCTGAATCTGTTAGGGCAGCCATTCTTACGTAAGTGTTGTAACTACTTTGTTTCCTTATATGGGTTTTGGTTGGTTGGTTTGTTTTTATGATTATTTGGAGTACTTGTTTTTAACCATTCTTAAATTGTCCTAGTTAAGGCTTACTGTTATAGAAAATAAAAAGTAAAAGCACTACTTTAAAAAAATTAGAGATAAACTGTACCATGCTTCTTTAAAATCAAATCAAGTATTCATTGTACTATCAGAAAGATCTCCCTAATTTCTCAAAGGCAAAAATTTGTGTCTTATCCCTATACAATAAGCACATTCTTGTGTGGAGCAGTAAGGTCAATAAATATTTGTTGAATGAAATGAATCATATTGTAATAATCCTGAAAATGTAAGCCTTTATTTATGTATGACCAACTGGACTTTATAATCTTCAGAATATAAAGCTAGACATTTTTTTTTACCAATTTATTTACTTTTTCTCTAGACAAGTATTTTAAGAAATTAATTTTTAAGTACTTTTTTAAGCAAAGAGCTTCTTTTGTCCTCAAGTAATTAATGGAATGCTGTCTGCCAGCACTTGCAAATTATGCCTATTTTAGTCCTTAAGAGGAAATTCTACATCTAAGAGAAATAACAAGGCACAGTAGACAAAATGACTGATACAGGGCTTAAAGCCTTTGCTCTGTTCCTTAAACTCGTTAGGAAGGACTTGGAAATTTTCTTTATTGCCTTACATCATTTTTCCTAATTATAAAATCAGAAGTGGTGATGAATGAGGAAAATAATGTTATCATTTTATCAGATGGTATTGTGACTCAGTAAAAATAATCGCGTTACTGTAACAAAGTTATGTGGGTTATTTACTACCAAGGAATTGCTTTCGTCTCTACATATAAACAGGTCCTTTTCTGAGTATACCCTTTGTGCCTTCACTAAATCACTTAATCCTCACAAAATAACTTCATTTTGTCTTTTTTAAAGTAATAATCTGAAGTAAATAAAATGTCAAAAAGAATCCAGGAGCGATTTAGCACAGTTTTATTTTTAGAGCATAAAAATGGAAGCTGCCTTCACTCCATCCAGCATTCTGCCAGGCTTCCGTAGAAGCAAATGCAAATTACAAACCTTTAACTTTCCTCAGTCAAAACACAACTCTTATCTTCTGAGTTCTCTCAAGTTGACCTGCCAGACTGTGCTTCCATGTCAGGTTCTATCTTCCCCAGTTGGCATTTGTTGCATCTACATTCTTTGTACAACTGAGTGTTTAGAGGGACTCAAAACAGCCTTTGGAATTTACCTACTTCCATACAGTATAGAGACATCAGGAAGAAAGAAATGGTGGTCTTTAACACTTAAATAGCAAATACATTTATATATTTTAAAGTTTATCTTACTTTATATAACCAGCTAACATTTTTCATATATTTTATCTCATTTGATCTTCACCATTACCTTATAAAAAGAGTATGCAAATGCAAATGTTAATTTTCCTCATTTAATCAGTCAAAATCAAGAACTAGACTCTCAACTAATTCTTAGGGTCCCAAATTCAGGGATCTTTCCATTATAAGCTACATGATGTAAATGCCCCTTCGAAGGAATTCACTTCTGTGTTTTCATTAGATGGTTTTTAGGCCCTGGAGTACGTCTAGCTAAAGAAACTAATTTAGGCTGTCTAATTTATTTAATCATCACCACATGATACTGATTTAATGAGGTTTCAGTTTCATGTCAAATGATCTATTAAAAAATCGATCATATGTAGCCAGAGTATTTTTTTATTTAGACTCAACTTGATCATTGCATAAGTAAACTAGAATTGAATCAGTGTCTACCATATACTCGTGTTATTCATATTTAACTGCATTAATCCATTAAATATATTTGCAAAAATGTATAATTTTTACTTTTTGTCATAGTGATCTAATTCTTTATTTGTTGTAACAGCTAAATATTATCTTCCTGGTGATCACATTGTGCAAAATGGTGAAGCACTCAAACACATTGAAACCAGATTCTAGCAGGTTGGAAAACATTAAGTAAGTATTTCGTATTTTAATTTTACTACTTGACAAAGTGAAAGGTATTCTCCACAGGGAATACATGAATACCATCTTTCACCTGTAGAAATTATTCAGAATGAAGTTTTACTGATCAAGGTTGAGTCTCACTGTTACCATGTCACAGACATTGGTCAAAAATTAGGTAATAATTTCTGTCTTGATCTAAAGCCAAGAAATTGTTTCAGTGGCTTTGTGGAAATTCCATATCACTGTAGCAATTTCATTTGAATTTAAAATGCAATTCAAAATGATGTTCCTGTTTGCATGACTGATATGATTATATTGTTTGTTTTGTTAAATGACTTTTTGATTTATTAAGGATTCTGAGCAGTTTCTACTTCTAATCCTGTTTTCCTAAGAGAATTTACTCCATTACTATTGTTAACTTGGAGATTGTCTATTGTTTTCATGATAATTAAAGAAATGTTTACTTTATTTCAATGTTGAAAAAAACTGCAATATCCTATCAATGGAAAAATGTTATCTAATTAACAAAAAATTGATAGCTGTTGATTCATTAAGTCATCTTATAAAAGCATTTTCAGAGTAATTTTTTAAAATATGAGTTAATTTAAAATTTGAGGAGGTATTGTTCAAGTTGGTTATAATGGGATGTGGAAAATATTTTTAATGTTAAAAATGGCAGATCTATAGTAAGGGTAATTTTTTTTAATTAGATAAAGTTTTAGATAGGTTAGTGCCAGCTTCATTGCATGTTGCATGGTAAGAGAGAGAGCTAATCTTTAGCATCTCTCTCTTTTCTTCCTTTTCCTCTTTCTGTCTTCTCATCTACACCAGTAATTACCGTGTTTGTGATGGCTACTATAATACGGACTTACCTGGGTAAGGTAGAACCCTACATTAACAAATTTATGGCATGATTTATATTTTTTACAAATCCGTCAATATCATGAATTGCCCTTAATTTTTATAATTATTTTGGAATATCTTATTTGCTAGAATATTTTAAACTATAATATGCCTTTATTTTTTAATTGTTTGCCTCTGCATTTTGACTTTCTTAATTTTGACTAATTTTATAAAATATATAAATGCTTTCTTATTACTTTCTATTTTAATTCTGTCTAATAATTTTGTTTCTCTTTTCTGCTTATAATGCTTTCTAGCTATGAAGATAATAAGCCATTTATCAAGTAAGATCATTAGTTAGACATGGAATGCACTGACTTTAAATCCTCTCATTCCGTCCTATTTTCTACAGTTCCTTTCTCCTTAAGCTATTCATGATGAAATCTCTCCCAAATTATTTTATTTTGAAGTTGTTCTCATGTTTTTGTCTCATTTCAGCTAGGCTTCTTCATGCTTCAGTTATAAAACCTTAGGTTCACCTAAGATTAGTTTCTTAGAATCTGAGGTTTAGGTGTTAAGTGATTATCTGCCATTTAACCTTTCTGTATGTGTCACATTATTCAGTGTCTTGAGTGCACCACAGGAATAAAAGTATAGGAGTAAACTAATTAAGGACTCCTTAATTTCTTTTACCAAAATGCACATAAAAGACAATAAAGTCACGGGGGATGTTTTACACCTTGTATTTTAATATAGTTTTCATACCTTGTTTATTCTGAGTAAGAAAAGGTCATACCTGCTGTTGCTGTTTTCACTGGAGACTGCAGTACTAAATGCTATTGTTCTTTCTTTAATCAATGAAAGGTTAAAGCCAAAATGCTGTTGAATTTGAATGTGAACATAAAGTCAACTGCTACTACTGATATGTTAATAGTTAAGTGTGATGTGTGTTGTTCTCTCATTGAACCTGTTGATGAAATTCACTTTATTTTTTCAGGTCTTGGGTGCTTGGCGCTTTTGCTCTTCTGTGTCTTCTTGGCCTAACCTGGTCATTTGGGTTGCTTTTTATTAATGAGGAGACTATTGTGATGGCTTATCTCTTCACCATCTTTAATGCTTTCCAGGGAGTGTTCATTTTCATCTTTCACTGTGCTCTCCAAAAGAAAGTAAGTGAAAACACTTAGAGGCTCTGCTTAACTTGTTCTTTGATTTGAAAATAATATATATAATAGGGAAGATTTTAAGTTACAACTGGAATATTATTAATAATATTATATTTTAATCATAAATTAATTGTAATGAAAGTCAGGAAGCTCAGGCTTCACATGTAAAATGTGTCAATACCAGTCATCTCTTGAATGTCAGTTTGGGAATATTATAAACTAGATACTTATGTTAAGATTTCTTCTTTGGAGTCTACAAAAATGCTTTGTGCAAAGGGTATACAAGAAAAATAAAAAGTTAAATAATCTTGTTCTTTGCTCAATAAAAGGAATGCAGTGGTTCAAAACAAAATTGAGTATAAGGATAAATGGTCTAAATTTTAAAAGCACAAGCTATACAGAAAAATGAATATCAGTGTTGTCTTCTGAGTAATTTTGAAAGATCTTAAAACCCAGCAATTTCATATCTCACATCTTGTTATTTTGTCCTGATTTAATGTTAAGTGGAGTCAGCAAAATTGACTCAAAACTTAAAGTTGAAGGTGAAAAAGTTTAATCTATTACAAGAAGATGTTAAACCTAAGAGAATAGCTTAGCTACCATTTAAGTTTAAAATGTCTATGCCTATCACCAGGTATCATCCTTTCCCTGTCTGCATATCTAACGTAGTCTTTTTATTCTGTTATTACTAGTTGGTCACTAAACTGAACAGAGAAATAGAGTTGTGAAAGTGAAAACTATTATGTTTTCAGTCCTGACAAGATGATAGTGTTGTTACTTCCATCAGTTCTGATAAGCTATAATTGTGAGATAATGACAGTGGAATGTGCAATGCTGACAGATAATAATGTACATTCACAGCAATATAGGCATTAGGCAAAACCAACACCGGAGGGTATTATTTGGATAAAATACCATTTTGATTGCCATTGTCTTGGTTATATAGGATTTCAGAGCAGTTAATAGACATTAAGTGTACAGAAATTTTTTGTGAGGTATCATGTATTATTTAATATGAACCTTAACTTTCTAAACATTATACAGGTATAACCTTGTAATTACTTTGGTTTTTATATATTTTCTGCATAGATGAGCATTTTATATACATGCACATAATCACATATTCATACCTTCTGTCAAATGTTTTTGACAAAGCATAAACTTAGCAGAAAAAGGATGAGGTCATCATTATTTCCTCATAGAGTTTGTATATTAATTTTACAGAGATTTTGCTATGCTTTTTAATTAGCAATTACATTTTAAAGTCATTGTGTTACATTTCTTTTGAACAAGTTCTACTTAGTCTTGGATATGTCCTATTGGATGCTGCCAGGATGAATTGTTAAGAATATAAGATGATTTAGTTAAAATCATGGTTCTAACTGCTTGAGTGAGCATATTTAGGCAGAGAAAATGCTTTGAAAATTCACCCCCATTGTTATTTGTTCTAATAGATATAATTAAATAAAGCTAAGAGGATGAAAATTCAAGTGCACTTAGATTTAAAAGGTCATTAGTGACTTTAATTCTCTAATTTCCCAAGGAATAAGTGTCAGAGTTTTGGCCTTTGCAGGCAGATACTGAGCATAGAAATGGTGTTGGGCGGGGGAGCGGGGAGGGGGAAGCCTTTGAGTGTTTTTTGTAACCTACTAGAAAAAATAATTTCTTATGCAGCCTCTCCTTCTTCTGTCTTGAAATTTCAAAGTCTGGCTCTTAGCCTCAATGAAACCTGTTTATATGCCAGCAAAGCTGCACAGAATCCAGAACTCTCCCCCCTCCTCCCAATTCTTGACCACCTAAGTAGGGCACTATTATTTAGCAGTTGTTTGGACCTCACTTTTTAACGTTTCAACTTTCTTTTAGGCCTGACAACTTTTCTATCTATTCATATGTCCAAACTTCAGGGGAAAAGGGAAATTACCTGGGTAACTCGTTAATGTGAATGGAAATTGCTTAAATAGTTCCCTGTGTGCTAATGAAGTGAATAGGCATCTTAGACTCTCTACACTAAATGTTAGAGCTAGGCACATCAGAAAATGAAGAAAACATTCCATCCTAATTAATGACATATGTATCAAAGGACTTTTTTTCCTTTATTCTTGTGCCAAAGTAGTCTTTCATTATAAAGAGGTCACCTGCAACACCATGCAATCTAGTAAAAGACGTTTATGTACTGACCTACCTAAGAGGACACGAAGCATATAAACCTTAAATGACTGAATTACAGGTGGTTAAATGTAATTAAGCAGGGAAAATACTAAATTTTTTATCTTACTTTCTTAGCATGAAATAGAAAATTGGGTTTACTAAGGCTATAGCTAGAATAAGGCTTTTAAGATATTACCATTGTATTAATAAATAACATTTGCATAATGAAAACAGGGTATATAAAACATTTCTACATGTGATATCACCCTTTAAAGATCCTACTAGCCAGTCTAGTGGACAGAGGTGTTTTTCGGATTACCATTTCACCAGTTTCAATTGAACTTGACTTTGTAATCTCCACGGAAAAGTGTTAGTGGGACTTCTTGTCTCGTCTGCTCATTTAATTAGAGAGAGAGGAGCAAGTATGTTTATATTAATCCCTTGGTCTTGTGGTTATTCAATGCAGGTACGAAAAGAATATGGCAAGTGCTTCAGACACTCGTATTGCTGCGGCAGCCTCCCAACTGAGAGCCCTCACAGCTCAGTGAAGGCGTCCACCACCAGAACCAGTGCTCGGTATTCCTCTGGCACACAGGTAACAAAGAGTTTGACAGCATCTTTAATTAATCTTCTTTATGGAAAGCCTTCTGAGACATGTTCTGTTCAGATGTACTAATTGTCTCCTCATTATAATGATCTAGGTAGCAAATACTTGCCTTCTTAGTATTTTGGTTTTAATTTCTTCCTAAGTATTTCTTCAAGGTGTTTCTTTAGGTGTAAACATCCTTTTTTGAGAGGTATACTTTTTTAAGAAGTATGTCATAATCATTAGATATCCTAAGCTCACATAGCACAGGACTCAGTAGGCATTCAGTAAACATTTGTTGACTAACTAGCCATCTCCACTTTAAAAAAAGACAATAAGTGAACACTCTTTTTAAGATTGGAAAATTAAATACTCCTTAGTAGAGAAACAACAGAGGAGTATAGACTTCCTTCATTCTAGAACAGAATCAGTGCACATTTTTTTTAAAAAAGGTCAAAAGATAATTCTGCACAGATTGTTCAGGGTACATCTTTGTGTGTCTAATGTAAGGTAAGCTTGGGAAAACTAACATAACATATGTCTTGCTATTTTATGTTAATAGAGTCGTATAAGAAGGATGTGGAATGACACTGTGAGAAAACAATCTGAATCGTCTTTTATCTCAGGTGACATCAATAGCACTTCAACACTTAATCAAGGTCAGTTACTAGGAAAATTTGAGTTTACAATTTAAATTTTGTGCCTTTTGCCAATTTGCAATAATTCTAGAGAAAATGCTGAATTTTCCTCTCAAATGGGTTTATATCACAAGCTCTTAAACCTGTTGAGTCATCTTTTATTAAAGTACATATAAATTCTTTTTATTCAATAATGTAATGCAAAAAGTATGATTTCAAATACCACGTTAACAGAGTGAGGCTGGAAAAAGTAATTTCTGAGAACGTGCTTTGCCACAGATTAAAATGGTTTCCTAGTGAATACAGATTTATTCTTTCTAAACGTACATTTATGAAAGTTTTTTTCTTAAAACATTAATATAATTAATGTTTTAACTACTCTTCACATTAAACAGTACCAGTTTTGCAGTGAAAATTCTTACTTGTAAAATTCTTCTGTTTTTACGTTTCTTTCAAAAAGTAAAAAGTAAATGTCAAAACATTTATACTAACTCTTCATAAACACATAATTAAACTACATGATAATTTACAAAGTAATTTTTATATTTGAATTGTTATTATTTAATGTGTCTACAATTATAGCCTTAAACTTATCACATAATCAATATAATTCCAACTTAAAACAATATGGCAAATAAAATAATGTAGCCAGATAAGGGCACAAGTACATGTACAGACACATATTCCCGAGTACAAGTTTAGTAAATTTCAATTTATTTTGAAAAAAATCATATATTATTGTATATATTCTTGGAAAGGTAATTTATCCAGGTAATTTCAGTTTTGATGTACTGATTTGTAATATAATATGTTATATTTTATCACAATGTAGTATGAAAGACATTTTTCATTGTTGACATTGTTCGGATGAGATTCTGGTTTAAAATGAAAAAAAGCACATGTATGGCATCAAAACCAACTTGAATTTTAAAATATTTTTAGCCAAATTACATTAGTTATGCAAAACGCATGTTTGATAAGTATTGAAAGGTTTGTAATTTGTCAGTTAGAATGAGTGAAATGTGTGTTTATTCCATTGCTCTGATGTTTTACCTAATTCTGTTAAGATGACTATCAAAAAGGAAATGAATTATTCAATGATTCATTTTTGAAACCTGGCAAATAAGATTACAGAGGAGAATTCTTGTTGGATAGAATTTGTGAATGGTCTAATAATTCATTATACACAGTCTCTTTTTCCCCTCAGCATGTGTGCTCTTGCATTTACTAAGAGAAGCTTGGTGCAGTGTGTCATACTTTTTACCTGTTTGTGAAAGTTGTTTTTCCTCCTGCTTGTATCAGAGTTGGTATTAACACCGATGTTTTCATGAGGGATAATCCCACACCTGTAAATTCTGAAAGTTTGAGATTCCCTCTTCTGGGCCTCAGTGGTTAGGTTTTTAATATTAAGCAGTAACATCTTGAAACATAATGTTGATCTCTGTGCATTTAATTGCCATTTTTGTTTAACAGTGATTTTGTATAAATTAGTAAATGTCATCCTCAGCAGGTGTTTACTTGGGGGACTTAGAAAGCACCTGTGAATTGCTGAAATTTAACTTCCCTCTTCCCTTTCTCCTTCAAATTAGTAGTTCAAATACAGTCAGATAATTTCAGCAGATTTTCCATTGCCAACTTATCCACTACCCTTGATGAATACGAAAAGTACTTTACTGCAACTGCAACACTAAAATAAGAGAACTGATGTATTTTTTTCTGTTTCTTTGCTTTAGGAATGACTGGCAATTACCTACTAACAAACCCTCTTCTTCGACCCCACGGCACTAACAACCCTTATAACACATTGCTCGCTGAAACAGTTGTATGTAATGCCCCTTCAGCTCCTGTGTTTAACTCACCAGGTGTGCTTATACTTACGAATACAACTACCTTTCTTTGCTGCTAAACAGAACTGTGATCTTTGCCCTCTTTCTAGAACACTCAAGTTGCCATATACTTACTATTACATCCTTAATTTCTCAGTTAAAAAGCATTATGGTATTGCCCATGCCAGGCTTCTAAAACTGCACTATATTATAGTAAAAATTCAGTCATGATAGTATTTACCAATAATTATCCATGTTTTTGACACAGGTGGCATAAATCTTAATATATTATTACAGGACTGACATCACATGGTCTGAGAGCCCATCTTCAAGATTTATATCATTTAGAGGTATCCTATCTATGTAATATACTATTCAGTTGACTCTAAAGCTTGCTGACGGAGTTTGCTTCTGGCATGACTTAGCTAATAATTTGGATGCCTAGGTATAGAAAACTACATCCAGCATTATCAATGTAACCAAACTATAGTATAGTGCAGCTTTATGGTAGTTTTTCTTTCTTCTTAAAAAACTAAGAATAAAGTTAATATTAGTCAGTTTATACCTATAGTTTTTTATTGGGGGAGGGGGAGAGATTGTCACTAACCCATCCTGTATTTTACTGTATTTTCTAATAGCTTATTTATTTAAAAAATATATATATATATTTAATATTAACAGAATTTTCAAGAGTTTGGTGAAAGTTTTATTGCATAATTACAGTTAGCATATAATCTTTATTTGTGATTGATATTTGCCACTAAATTAAACACAGAACTTCGTTTCCGTTTTTTTTTTTCTTGACATTCTTTTTTAACGTAACTGCAGCTTCTCTTTTCATTCTCTTGTTTTTCTTACTTTCCTTATGCTTTCCTCTAGCAACCTACAGAGAGACAAGTATGGGAGTAAAACTTAACTTTGCCTATCAAATGTAAATTTTTTCAGCATGATTTTTAACCGGCACAATTAAAACATAACTAGCAGTCATGAAGTAGACTCAGCGGGCAAGTGGTTCACAATTTGCAACTCAAATGTTTCCAAATTCAAACAGTACATCTATATGTACTGCCTTTTGTCAGTAATAGAGGTCTGTAGCAAATGCTGTCCATACTTAAGTACATGCAATGCTGAAATAATTTGCTCTTTAAAGCCTGAGGTACTGTCAACCAGAATGCTTAATAATTGACTTATCATTTCTGCATTCCCACAGTAATCTTGCTACAGGCTGTGGAAAGTCTTCCAGTGAATTACCTGAACTTGGGCAGAAAAAGTTGCCTCTTCAAAACCAGCCAAAGATGTGCTTAAATCTGCAGTATATCATAGAAAACACCTTTTGGATTACCCAGTATATATTTTTATATTTATTAAACAACAGTAAAAAGAAAAATGACAAGATCAAACCTCGACAGAGGAAACAAACGCTAGCAACTGATCCCCGTGTCACTTATAATTTAAAACAGCAAATGTTTCCTAGTAGTAGATCTTCTAAAGTTTGTGACACATATATAAATTTATAAAGCTGGAGATTTGTGTCAGTGAGGCTAAAGGAAGCCATGCAAAGAACTATCATAACTTCATTTTGTCAAACATGCCTTGGAGCATGATACAAATCGAATTGTCAGCTTTTCAAAAGTAGAAGTTGGATCAGAATTTTCTACATAACATGAGTCAATAATAAATATGACCCACCTATTTTCTCATTTTCTGCTAATGATAATTAATTGAGCATGTATTAGGTATTTATTGGTCATGACATTGAGTTTTCTAGGATAATCTGCAGCTTTAAGAGTGGAGTGAGCACTAAAAAGGGAAATTTCCTATTTTTTCGAAGAATTCATTTTTTTCCTAAACTCCTCCAAGCCTTGCATACAATGCAGCAGCCTCACAGTGGTCAGTTTCATTTCAATAACATCATTTCATTCTTTTTTTTTCCAGACTTATCTGTAGACAAGTGATTTTTTTCTCTAGGATTTTGAGAGTGAATAACCTAACTTTCCATGGTACAGACCATTTAATTTTCTCTAAAACTTTTTTTTTCATCTGCCTGAGAAGCACTGTGATGTCTTAGTTTACATGTTTATGTGTCTGTAGAAGAATACAACTCTGATTCAAAGAGAGCATGTTACCATATTTTTTTTCCTCCTGAACCTCTTTTCATATCTTCAGCAGACGTATCCAATCTTTCATTCCTTTAGAAATAAAAATATATTAGCCAAGGCTGACACCCTTTTCCCATTCCACAGTTGATATTTATTCTTGGTTTAATTTCTGTGACACATACTTAAGAAACCTCCTAACATTTCTGCGTTTAACCTCCATGCCCATGGTGTCTGTGGGCCAGTCTCGTACAGTAGTAGACTCTGCTGGTTCATTCGGTGCTGTCACTGTGACTGATGCAGACTGCAGGGCTGCAGGCAAACTTTGACCAATAGGAGCCTGGGGCCATTGCTATTAGAGAGAGTATTAGTACCAAATAAAAGTTCAAAATAATAAGAAATATTCAATGAAAAAGTAAAAGGCTGCTATTGCTGGTAATCTAATTTGTTGAACCCTTGCTCTAAGTTGCTGAGAAGCTTAGAAATTCTTCATCATGTTACAATAAATCATTTTACTTTCTTTTATATATCAGCTACTCTTAGGCCAGATAGCCTGAGCAGACAGACATGATGTGAGTTGTCCAAAGTGAGTCATTCCACCTGCTGTCTATCGTGTTGTTGGATGGTGCTTGTGGGCCCCTGGTCCAGTCAGTATGAGAGATGGCTGTCTTTGTTTAACATGACTTCTTTGTGTCTGTCCATTTTTTCATTCTTTTTTTCACTTCATCTCCAGAAAAAGGAAATGTTAGAATGTTGTTTAAAGAGTTGCTTGCCAGTTACGTGGGTTTATGTTGTACATTTGCCTTCAGTTTTTGTATGTGACTTATTCCTTTTTAATTTAGTGTTGTTTAGGACAAATTCTGTTAATTTTATTTTTATAAACCATAGTCTCGTACTTTAAAACGTAAATGTCACTAATGAATTGCTTTGCATTAACTATGCAAGGGCATGGAGTGAAGTCTTTATAAGAGTGTCAGAGATTTGACCAAAAATCAATTCATAACTACTGTCTCCCCGAAATTGATAAAGCAACATTCTGTATACCATCTTCCCTCCCTGGAAAACAGTATTATTCTTTCACACTTGTTCCTGTTATCTAAGGGGTTGCAACTGTTTACAGTTGGGAATGCAGGAAAGCCTGGCACTTTCCAAGTGTTAGCTTTCAAATACAACTTTGTCCTGAACGACATTAAAAAGTTTTGTACAAAAGAAGTAAAGATTCTTGAGGAAGGAACAGAGGCAGTAACCGAACCCCTCCCTTTTCTGTTTCAGGACATTCACTGAACAATGCCAGGGATACAAGTGCCATGGATACTCTACCGCTAAATGGTAACTTTAACAACAGCTACTCACTACGCAAGGGGGACTATAATGACAGCGTGCAAGTCGTGGACTGTGGACTAAGTCTGAATGATTCCGCTTTTGAGAAAATGATCATTTCAGAATTAGTGCACAACAACCTGCGGGGCAGCAGCAAGGCTCACAACCTCGAGCTCACACTACCAGTCAAACCTGTGATTGGAGGGGGCAGCAGCGAAGATGACGCTATCGTGGCAGATGCTTCGTCTTTAATGCACAGTGACAACCCAGGGCTGGAGCTCCATCACAAAGAACTCGAGGCACCGCTCATTCCTCAGCGGACTCACTCCCTTCTGTACCAACCCCAGAAGAAAGCGAAGCCCGAGGGGACTGACAGCTACGTCTCCCAGCTGACAGCTGAGGCCGAGGACCACCTGCAGTCCCCCAACAGAGACTCTCTTTACACAAGCATGCCCAACCTTAGAGACTCTCCGTATCAGGAGAGCAGCCCCGACATGGAAGAAGACCTGTCTCCATCCAGGAGGAGTGAGAACGAGGACATTTACTATAAGAGCATGCCAAACCTTGGAGCTGGCCATCAGCTTCAGATGTGCTACCAGATCAGCAGGGGCAATAGTGATGGTTACATAATCCCCATTAACAAAGAAGGGTGTATTCCAGAAGGAGATGTCAGAGAAGGACAAATGCAGCTGGTGACAAGTCTTTAATAGTGCAGCTAAGGAATTCCAGCGGCCCCATGCAAGTGTTAGTAAATAAAGACAGGCTCCATGGCCTGATACAGCTCCCTCAAACTCTGCTTGAAGAGATGGGTCTGTTGACCTGTGGTTCTCCAGTGTAAAAAAGATGACTGAACCTTGCAGTTCTGTGAATTTTTATATAACATACAAAAACTTTGTATATACACAGAGTATACTAAAATGAATTATTTGTTACAAAGAAAAGAGATGCCAACCAGGTATTTTAAGTTTCTGCTGCTGTTTAGAGAAATTGTGAAACAAGCGAAACAAAACTTTCCAGCCATTTTACTGCAGCAGTTTGTGAACTAAATTTGTAAATATGGCTGCACCATTTTTGTAGGCCTGCATTGTATTATATACAAGACGTAGGCTTTAAAATCCTGTGGGACAAATTTACTGTACCTTACTGTTCCTGACAAGACTTGGAAAAGCAGGAGAGCTATTCTGCATCAGTTTGCAGTTAACTGCAAACCTTTTACATTAAGGCAAAGATTGAAAACATGTTTAACCACTAGCAATCAAGCCACAGGCCTTATTTCATATGTTTCCTCAACTGTACAATGACCTATTCAAAAATGGCTAAAGAAATTATATTTTGTTCTATTGCTAGGGTGAAATAAATACATTTGTGTCCAACGGAAATATAATTGTCATTAAAATAATTTTAGAGTTTGGAGAAAATATTGTGTGAAGCTCATGGTTGCACATATGTTATCAAATGTTTTTTCTTACACTTTGTCATTGTAAGTTCTACCCATTTTCACTTATTTTCCACTGTATACGGTGTTCTGCTTTGACAAGTTAGTCCTTATTCTTACATTTTAATTTCTTATGGCCAAAAGAACGTGTTTTATGGGGAAAAAAACTCTTTGAAGCCAGTTATGCCATGCCTTGCACAAATGTGGTGAAATCTGGAAAAGATTGTTTGTCACCCCTCTGTTTGTTCTTGAACAGGGGCCAAAGAGGGCACTGGGCACTTCTCACAAACTTTCTAGTGAACAAAAGGTGCCTATTCTTTTTTAAAAAGTAAAATTAAACATAAATATTACTCTTCCATATTCCTTCTGCCTATATTTAGTAATTAATTTATTTTATGATAAAGTTCTAGTGAAATGTAAATTGTTTCAGCAAAATTCTGATTTTCTTTTCATCCCTTTGTGTAAACCTGTTAATAATGAACCCATCACTAATATCCAGTGTAAAGTTTAACACGGTTTGACAGTAAATAAATGTGAATTTTTTCAAGTAGCTAATGTGCACTTTTATGTATGATACATAATTGGCTTTAACACACCGGTCCTTTGCCACCCCGCTCCCCTTGGGTGTACTAGGTTCCTTCACAATATAACCCACGGGTATGCAAAAGAATACAGTTCAGCTGCCTGATGGTTCTATATCCTGAAAAGAATATATTTGTATTCTAATTACCATTACCTATGCACAAAATCTGGCAGATAGGTTTCAATAGGGAAATATACTGAAAGTATTTGTGTCTGTTGCATTGCAACAGAGCCAAAAAACAAATAAAAATGAAAAAAAGAAGACGTGTTGGAAATCTCAAGTCAAATTTGGGCATCGTTAAAAAAAACTGACTTTTCAGCAGTATTGAGAAGCAAATCCTAAAACATACTTTTACACTTTGAGGATTATAAGTAGCCCTATAGGCAGCTGCAAATGGCAATGTTTGTTATCATGGAAAGGTTCAAAAATCATATAATTGAATCTCAACATGCAGATCTTCTCCTGTCTGCATCATCAGCATTTATACCAAATTCTTCTAAAGCTTACTGGTTCTCTCAAGGGCTTCCACCACATTAGAAATCACTTTATTTCATGTGGACACACTTAGCCTATTTAAAAAGAGTAATGAGAGGGCTTCCCTGGTGGCGCAGTGGTTGAGATGTCTGCCTGCTGATGCAGGAGACACGGGTTCGTGCCCCGGTCCGGGAAGATCCCACATGCCGCAGGGCGGCTGGGCCCATGAGCCATGGCCACTGAGCCTGCGCGTACGGAGCCTGTGCTCCACAATGGGAGAAGCCACAACAGTGAGAGGTCCGCGTACCACAGAAAAAATAGTAGGGTGACAATGGAGGAGTGTAATCACATATAGTTAATACCTAACAAGTTGGAAATTGACTATAAGAAATTATTAATATTCAAACAGATTTAACAATCGTCTGAGAAGGGTATTCATCCTTGGGTAAAAGTTCTGCAGGAATTTACAAAACTTTATTTACTAGAAGGGGGCATTATATAATCGAGCACTTTCATTTTCTATTACGTTATATTTTTTGCTGTCCAAGCCTGAAACTCTACAATGTTATGTGATCTGTACTTCCTAGTATACAGGCTAACTAGGGTTAGGCTGGATCAGTGATGAATTGCCAAAAAAAAAAAAAAAAGGCAACATTGATTGTTTAATTTGTGGCATCTCTTTCTCTTGAGGCTGTTCTTAAAACTGGTATGATGTGAACAAGTGCAGAAGTACCTAGTACCTAAATAGTTAATGTTCTCTTCAGAATAGGTAATTTACAAGTCTTCACATTAGAGAATACAATTTGGAAGCTATGGTTCATCTTTGCCGCCGAAAGAAGGATCGCTTTTAAAACGGATTTCTTTTTAAAAATATATAAATGTTGCCTTAAATTCTATCCAGCATTCCCCCTAGTACAGATAATTTCTTAGGTTTAAAATTATTAATCTATTGACTAGTGCATTACTCTATTTATTAACCCAGTAGTTTCTTTGAGTCTGTCCAGACTTCACTTGTATATGCAATTTCCACCTTCTTAGTTGTTTCTCTTTGTAATAATCACAACCGTGACTTTTTATAAAGTCACATTATTATACCTTATCTCAGGGACAGTTAGTCAACAGGTCTATTAATAATAAGGAGTGGTTGTTTCCATTTATTTTAGATTCAGCTTGATAAATGTTAGTCCAGATTGATCTCTTTTATTTTAAGATATAGGCTTGTGTTTGTTCTATTCACCAACAGAAAAAATTATAGCTTATACATCTGTATATAGTCATAGGCTTTTAAAATCATTTATGTGGAAGAGAATCCATTAAAATCCATAAATTGCTTAAATATGTCATCAGCTCAACTCATCCACGTTCATTTGAGGGTAGTTTATATTAATATCTTAACCAGAAAAACAACAGCAACAATTATTTGACAGAAAATCACTGTCACTATCCTTTCCCCCAAAAGAAGTATTATGCACAAATTCACTGCCCAATATCAAAAGAAAAATTCATGTGTACTTGTTACAGGGGATATTCAGGATGCTTGCTTTATGTATTTATTTAAATGAGAAAAGAGAATATGTAATTTTCCATCAATTCAACTTGGAACCTTCTTAAAACTGACCTTTAAGATGTTCTCGTGGGATAGAGTGTTTTGTAAAAAACTTCAACTCAGTAAAATTTTTATTGTGGTTATACCTTTCTAAGTAGAAAAACTTGAAAGAATGCATACAAGTTGAATTTCTGAAATGAAAGCAGCTTTTCATATTTTATTGATACTGAATTTTTTTTAAAAGACAGTAATCCCTGAGTGTTTTACAAATAAAACTTAGTACCAAGAGTTCACATGATCCTATGTTCCACATATTTTTCTTTCCATGCAATTGTTGCATTAAATCTCAAATGTCAGTATGAAAAGTTACTGACGTGTTGAATATAGATGAGGATTGCTTCACTGGGTAATAAAATTAGTATGCTTCTGGGTGAAAATGCCATATCACATGCTTCCTGCTAGTGAACATCAAGTTCATTGTGAGTAGTCCTTAAATAGCATGTATTGGCAGACTGGAAGCATTAGTGCTAAAGGATGAGTGAATGGTAGTGGGTTTGGAGATTAATTTATGACGGTCTTATCATTTGAATGGTATAACAGGCGAATTTTCTGTTATGTCACTTTGAGTCTTTTTCCCAACAATCATAGAGACACATTATGTTAGCTAAATGCAGCAGGCAGAAAAACTTGAATGTTGAAGGATACCACGTTTTTAACCAACACGTACTTTGTGCACATTACTAGTGCTTTGTTCCAAAATGTGTGGGACTGATGGAAATTCCTGGACATTATCCAAGTTCATTTCAAGGCACTATGGGCACTGAGCTTTCAAGGCCAGGATAACATCTCTCTGTCAGAGGACACTGATAATAAGCTGTAAGCGCACCATGTAATTAGGCTAATTAAATATACTCTGAGTGTTTTTCAAATATTGGCAATAGACCACCCCACATCTCTTAATAAGGCTTCTTTGGAGTCTTCATCCTTTTCCTGGTGGCATTACTGTTTACTGAATGTGCAATTTCTCAGCAAGAAATCTTCAGAGGTCAGTTTCATTTTTAAAGCCTATTATTTTAACTTGTGAATTTTTTCTGAATTCATGCATTGTGAAATGCTGTTAGGCATGCTGGCACTTAACGTTATAAATCACTGTATGAAATAAGAAACAACAAAACAGGTAACCCAGTACAATCGAGCTAACCAAAGTCTTCAGTATGGAAAAAAGTTGCCCCATGAATCTCACACATTTCTCTATCATGTGTTTATTGAAGCTCTTAGAAATATTTAAAAGGCATAGTTAATCTTAAGTAAACCAGTGTTGGGTGAGCATAAGAGACTAGTGATGAATGATCAATCTTTGAATGGTTTTCTGAATATGTTTTTCATAAGCATTTTTAAATCATATGTCAGAACTAAGCTTTTTAAAAAGCAACATGGCTTTCTCGTTTGATTTTATTAGGCAAAAAATGACTGATCTTTTTTTGATCTTTCCTTAGAAAGACTGACAGCTACTATATAGAATACCCAGGAACAATGATAGGTATCAGAGGTATTGATCAGATGAAGGATTCATTTATGTTTGCTGAAATATCAGTCTTTTTTTTTTTTTTTTTGGCTGCGTTGGGTCTTCGTTGCTCTGTGTGGGCTTTCCCTAGTTGCAGCGAGTGGGGGCTTCTCTTCATTGTGGTGCCCAGGCTTCTCATTGCAGTGGCTTCTCTTGTTGCGGAGCACAGGCTCTAGGCGCGCAGGCTTCAGTAGTTGTGGCACAAGGGCTCAGTAATTGTGGCTCGCGGGCTCTAGAGCACAGGCTCAATAGTTGTGGTGCACAAGCTTAGTTGCTCCACGGCACGTGGGAATCTTCCCGGAGCAGGGCTTGAACCCATGTCCCCTGCATTGGCAGGTGGATTCTTAACTGCTGTGCCACCAGGGAAGTCCCTGAAATATCAGTCTTAATAAATAGATGGCTTTTAATCAAAACATAGCAGTAGCACATAGTAAATTCTTTTAACACTCTAATAAAGGAACTACAAGACAAGAATTGCTGTCTAATTTTTAAAAATATCTCAGACTAAATGATTTGGTCCCATTTAATAATTTGCTAATATTGCAACAAGAATAAAAGTTCTAGCACCTACCATTTAATAGATGCTCATACATGCCAGACTCCGCACTAAATACTGTGTGCTTTGCTGCACTTAATCCACTCAACAATCCTCTACGAAGGGTGCTCATTATCTACTTTTGCGAAAGAAGAAAAATAATTTGCCCAAGGTCTCACAGCTGGTGTGTGGCCGAGCCTTCACTAGCATCATGTTTAGCCCCAGAGTTTTGAGCATTTAACCAACATGTGTCCCCTCTGGTTTTACTCAGAGTCCCAAGAATGTCTCTTGTACCTCATGGACTCTTTCTCTGCTGGTGGTTAGAGAAGGTTTGTTTGTTTTGAGTCCATAGAGCTGTAAAAGAAAATGAAGTTAAAAAGTCAGTTTAAATAAGTCAAAGAGTTTCAGAAGAAGATATCCCTCCTAAAAGATAATTATTTACCTCAAATCTTAGCATAAGCGGGCCTGTTAGCTGGGTGGTAGTCAAATGTAAAGTTTATTGGTTACTGATTTGCCCCCTTTGGAAGTAACTTAAAACGTAGTCATGAGGCAGTTGTAATAGGGAAAAAAAAAAAAGATTTTGAGTCAGGATGTTGAATTTCTAGTCCTCCCCTGACCAATAAAATAATATTGGTTTACCCGGTCAATATGAACAACAACCACAAAAACTGAGAAACAATTCATTCACGTATAATATTTTTTATTTTCTTTCACAACTGAGACATAACAATGGTGGAAAAGTCATGTGAAAAATCCCAATATTTGAGTTCCCTTTAACTTTTAAAAATTAATATTTGTGTTAAAGCTAAATGGGGTGTGTGTGAGGTGGGGGGAGGGAGGGAGAGAGA